TATTAATGTTAAAATTTGTTTGATTTGCTTTATATTGTAACTTTGATTAGTACTATTATATATATACTGATTAGTACTTATGTATTAGTAGTATTGATTAGTACTATTATATATATATATAATTTTAAGTATATGAGAAGTTAACTGTTTAATTGAGACAATGTAGGGATGAAAGTTTTAATTTTGAACATCAAAATGTTGCATCGTTTCTTTTATTCACATACTTAGTTGATGAGCAAAGTTTTTTATTGCTAGTAAAATACATAAAATCAAATATAAAAAATGGCAAATGGCATTTTTAACGTTTGATAAAATACTGTTATTTTTGAAATTCTTCTTTCAAGTGTACATATTATGATTTGTTTTATGGTAACTGGAAAGAAATGTACTGCTAATAGGTAAACAATTGCCATAATAAGCAATAGCAGACCTAATATTGCAATTCAATTAACACAGTCTAATGTTAATGTTTTCTTATTGGAATATTTGCACCAAATAAGAATAATTACGGAGGGATAAGAACTTATTCTGATTGCGACTTATCTCTTCTATTTTGAGTAGGAAGTATGCGTTTGTGTTTGATTTCATAGCTTCTGAAAGAATTAAATGATTAAGATGAGACGGCAATCTAGTGTAAGAAAATTCCTATCATTAAATCAGAAGCTGCAACTGAGTTTTTTTAAGGGGTAAGAAATTAGTTATGGTGTTAAAGATAGTGATATCGAATAATTACAAATGAACAAAATTTGTGCAAATCATTTTAACTGACTGATTCCGACTGAGATGGTAATAAGAGGAATATGAAATTTATTATTGGTATTATTACTGTCAATAAAAAATTTGTTTCTAATTGTTAGAATTTTATTTATTATTCTTATGTGTAATCAATTGAAACAAGGTTTATCATTGATGAATAGACGTAAACAAATTTTAATAATTAAAAAAAAGTTGTAAAAAAATTATTTAAATTTTTTTTTCTTACTATGACTTCTTACTATCTAATATCAATGGATTTTTCAGACTAAACAAAATGCTACAGTTGTTTTATAGTTCAAGGACATTTTAGTAATGTATTCTTCGTGCTGTATTTTGAAGTGAATTCAGTCATCAATTTCAATTGTAGAAGTAATTTATTTTGCCGTTGAAACTTTTTCATTCTTTTTTTAATGTTTAATTTCTTAGTAAATTAATCTTATTTATTTATATTAATCTAATGTTAATGCAATATAATTATTGAAGGGAAAAATGGAATTCTTCTACCTCCATGTTAAGGAGAATTATATGTATACAGTTAGCAAAAGAAAAAAAAAGCGAACACCCTGGATAACTTTTGATCTAATTATCAGATTCATACGTACTAGAACTCCATCTTAATAGTTGGATTTCCTAATCTTAAATACATTAATTAATTAGTGCAGATATTATTGTTCTTCGTAGGTTAATGCGGAAGAAGAATCATTTTTCTGTCCCATAGTTTAGTTAAAATTTTCTTTTCTTTTATAATTTTGGCACATGTATTTTGTTGGCCAGCTTGGTCCTTTAAAAAAAATCTGAATATCAATTTGAAATTCGGATCGATTTGCCTTTTGCTATTGTAATATTCTAATTACAAATAATGAGTAAATGTGTTTTTTAAAACTACTTGTTTTCCTGGGGATTTCAGTATGTGAGAACACCTAATGTTCTGGATTCAATCGTTTTATTTCAGGCGCTTTATTCTTGCCAAGTCCAGCTACATATGCCAGTTTTCTGAGACCATCTAAGAAATTCTGTCACTTACTTTTTATCATAGCGTTTGAGGCGTGGCGAACATAGCTTTTTTTTTCTACCAATTTTTGTTATTAATTAATTATGTTTGGTATTTCATTTACGACTCTGACGAAGATTGGAATCGTTTTAATCATTAAGTTTTGAGTATAATCAGTAAATTATACCGCTCAAAAATTTTAAATTAATCAGTAGAACCAAAATTGTGAGATGAAATTATATAGTGTATTTATTTACTTTTTATTGTAATAAAGCCGTGTCTTAAGGTTTGAAAAAAATAGATATATACTTTTCTGGGATGTTTTTTTCTCTTCTTGCAAATGAAAGGGATGAACTTTTCTCCCAGCTTACACAGGTTTGGCTTGTAGATTTTAATGGTTCTCCTCTGCTCTATTAGACAATTACAAGGCAATGTGACCTCGCATTTTAGCTCACGTTGTCCACTTATGATGCTGAATGTACTCACTGGACCGTGGCTGCTGATCGGACACCTGATAAATGGACTTAGTCACCTTTGTGTCCTTCCCTTCGTATACGCAGTATTCTCAATTATGCGAGGAATCAATTCCCTCTCCTCTTCAGTTGATTACATAAAAGGGCTTTCTTGTGAAGAAATTATACTCATACACTGAAGAAATCAATTTTATAAAATAACTAGCATGAAAAGAACAAATGTGGAATAATAACAAAGTTAATAGTTATGAAATATGACTAGTAGTAATTGATTTATTAATTACAATTAAAACAAAACAATTAGAGAAAAAAGGAGTAAGAAAACTGCCATGACTGATTACAATTATTAACATCGGTCAGAAAAATTTATAAGTTAGGAAATATGCGAAATTTTTTAAAACTTATTTATTTGTGAGTTAATGATTTCTACTTTTGTGTGTGTATGTATTGGTAACTATTAAGGCGTGTTAGAAAAATAATGTATTTTTGTCGTAATTTGGATGCTTGAACAAGGAATGTATTTTTGAAAATATTTTTTATCCAAAATGTAATGTGAATATAAAGTTAATTTAGAAAATTAAATTTGTGTACATTACAAAATTGCTTTTAATAATTAACAATTGCTGTGCTAATCAGCCATGTATCTTTAAAAAACATTCATATGTTAATAAATTATTCGTAAAAAAAACTTTCTTAAACTTTTATTAACTACCCGCCTAATTGTATTGTATACTTAGGTCATTTTGACCTATGATTAGCAGGGTTAAACTACATAATTGTAATAGTTATTGAATTTTAGCATTTTGTTCCTTTTAAAAGATATTAAATTATTTTTGTATTTAGTAACAAAACATAAGAGTATTTTAAGTAAGCCCTTTAGCAATAAAAATTTAGAAATAAAAATAGTTTAGAGTTAGAAATTATGTAAAAGGTTATTGGTTCTTTGGAACAGTAACTATCATTATGTACTGGTCCACAACAATATCATTGGTCTACTTAAAATTTAACGTTAAGTATATTTGTACTTTTTCTTAAAATAATTTTCATGCTTCATAATAACGTCAAATTTATTAGTTTATTTTAGATGAAACTTGATTAATTATAGTAAATTGATTTAAAAATTGAATAAAATACTAAATTGGTCTTTCAAAAAATAAATAAATGCTTGAAATTGCTATGATGATAAAAAAACTGAAAATAATGTTAAATAGTAATGCATATTGTGCAATATATTTCGTTATTTTCTTTCTAACTCTAGCCAATTGTAATTTAGCAGCCACTGATTCTGAAATAAACGTTCATTTATACTCTTTTCTTTATTTCTGTATTTTATAGTTTTTTTAATTTTTTCTGAAGAAGGTGCTACCGTTTCTCTAAATCGCATTTTGTACCTTAAAATGAAATAAATGATTCCATGATTAACATAAACCTCAAAAAAGAAAAAAAATTAACCAAGACATGTCGCGCTACCTTGAATTAATGCATTAATTACATACTAACATTCATACATTCCAGCCGAATGAGCGAGTCATCGTTCTAATACCGATTAACAGTAGATGCTTTGTTGGTCTAACGCAGTGTTTCCCAAACTTTTTTCTTGTTAANTGACTTTAGTGTACTCTTTCTAAATTTTTCATAACGCTGTGTACCACTAATAAAAAAAATTATGTATTTTTTAAAAAATATTTGTATTTTTATTAACATATTTAAGTTATTAACTGTTAACTCTGCAAAAAATAGCCAATAGAAAAGTACGTAATCGTAAATTTTCATGGCTAGTTTTGTTTTTAAATAAAATTTTTTGAAAGTTTCGTTTGTTGCAAGATATTTCGCATAAGAACGCGTACCCCACTAAACTGTCCCTGTACACCTGGGGGTACGCGTACCACACTTTGGGAAACACTGGTCTAACGAACTAGCGATTATTATTTCATAGTGGTTTCGAACATATGGACCGCTAATGAGTTTGAACGCTGATGTCTTAAATCTTAATTTAATGCTGGATTGACTGGTGACATAAAGAAGGCCTGTGAGTCCGGTAAGTCCAAGACAGGATAAGTGCCAATGCTAATTCAGTCCAAGTAGGTCCAACTGACAGTAAAATTCAAAATTCAATTTTATGAGAGACAAATATAGAAGCTCACTTGCTAGGAATAAGAAATTCATAAACTTTTTTGGACCTTTTTTTTGTTGCTTTTATTTGTTTTTAAATTTTGCTATGAGCATTGACTAGTGAAGTTTTTGTGTTCTTTTTTTAGAATTTGCCAAATAAAGTTTGTAGCTGTTTTTGTTTAAATTTTTTCTACTATCAATTCCACAGCAAATCATATAACAAGATTGCTTAGAATTTCCAGAATTTAATACACAGCATAATTTATGTTATAACGCTAACTATTTTTCTGTACTGACCTTATTTTTCCCCAAATTGACAGACTATCCGGAATTCCCCTGGTCATGTTCAAATAGCCACTCCAGTCCTGATTATTTGTTTTAAGTTATGTAAAAGGTCGTCTTGCTTTTTCTGTCTGCATTTGATATTATTTGTTAACTTTTCATTTGTTATTTTATTTTGTAACAAATCTTATTTAAGGGAAAAAAAAGTTTTTTTTTTCTGTTATCAATTGACATTGAAAATTCATTTGAAAGTAAAAAATCAAATATTTTTGTTTCACTTTTTTATATATGAAATTTAGTATTGTTTGTCTTAACAATACTAGAATTTATATATATAAATCTCGAAGATGTATTTTAAGTAAATTTTTTTTAATATTAACTTTTAGGAATCTGCTGCTGCTTATGTTTTGAAATTAACTTCAGATGATCATTTAAAAGATTATGAAGATCCCAAAGTTGATCCAGTCAATGGGGTTATGAAATTAGGAATTCCAAGTGAGTATTACTTTTTTTTTCATAACTGTCCTTTCCTAATGAGAGTAATTTTAAGTGTCTTTCTTCAATATTTTAATCATTGTATGATCTTTTTAAATTTACATCAAATTTTTTCCCTATAATCTTTTGTTTTATTACTTTTTTTAAAAAATAACCGTTGTTGAGCAGTTGACCCAATTTTGAGTTCCGTAGCCTTGTAAATTTGAATCAATCCAGACAGCAATTTTGTATGGATAAAATTGTAATATATAAATTGAATAAAATGGTTAGAAATCAAAGATCTCATAGGATGTATATTTTAAATAATTGTAGAATTTCATATTAAGCATTCACTCAAACACACAAAAATAAAAAAGTTAGAGTGAAATAAAATGAGCAGGCGAAGTAAGCTCAATTTATGAAGCTATCGGAAAGAAGTCACAGAGAGAATCTTCTGGTTTGGTGAGCTGCGGGGAAACAAATGTCCTCCCTTAGTTTTTTTTTCTTCTTTTTTTTTTCTTTTTTTAATTTATGAAGTGAAAAGCAAAAAATGTTCAATATTTCTTTACTTTGTTAAACATATTTATCTATGCAAAATGCAAATGGCATGGATAAAGATCCCTGACAAAAAGAATTTGAAAAGTCTTAAATTGAGCTATTAATAATAAACAGCTTCACTTGTTTTAAAATAAAAGAATACACATTAGCAAATGCATATAGTAAAATATCTTTTCGTTTTTCTGAACCAACCGAATATCCTTCATCATATTTGATCTTAAAAAGTGGCCGAGAGTAGTCTTTCTACAGCATCCTGGCTAACGGGCAATGCGTTACAATGTGGCAGGCCTCTTGAATGGCTGTAGGATACAATAACATTGCCGGAACCCTAGAGCATGAGAAGATTTATAGTTCAAGGGAAAACAGCTTCAAAGCACTCAAGCACAAGTTCCCTGCTGTATAGTGAATGCCTAATAGTGAATTACCGTAAGAATCTTGGGAGATCTTGTCGCATTTCCTTCGTTCAAAAAGAATTTAAGGTGTTTTAAGTTCATTCATTATATGAAACAGGAGTTCTAAAAGTTTCTTTGATGCTCTAATAATAAATAAGTCCTTCTGAATATAAGTATTTTTTTATAGTTATTCTTTGTTTTGTTAAAACTCTGTAGTTTGCGAATCCAAAAGTGATGAATGACTGACATTTATAAATTCGGGCTTTGTTTACTTTAGAAGTCTTTGTTTTCCTCTTTGAGTAGTTATATGATGATTCGTTGGGGACAGAAGGGTTGCAATGTATGCATAGTTAAGGAATTAGCATATATCTTTCTGTAATATAATTCGTGAGTAGGTAATTCGCATATATTTATCTTCCTAGTGGCTCTTGAAAGTTAATATTAAGCATTTGGTTGTTGGCATAAATGTTACATAAATTATATCATAGGGTAAATATGGTTGAGGATCTGGTGCTTTTTTTTTCTTCTTCTATTCCTTCTCCCATAACCTGTTTAGCAACTGTTGTGTTCCATATTCGGCAGATGTGCTTTATGAAAGATAAAACCTGAAGCTTTTAGCTATTGTGCCATGGCCTGAATTTGGTCTCAGTTTCAAACAGTGTTACTGAACATGGCCTGCTAACTGTTGATTCGTCATATTGTGCAAGGAGCATTTGTCTATGCTGTGCCATTGTGAACTGTGGCTGTAAATTTTGCTAAGTCCACTGCTTTCTACTATTTGTATTGACGTTTGAATCTACAAAATAAAATCTTATTTTTCTACATCTTCTGTCTTAGTGATAAGTGCAGTGCATCACAATACAAAAATATGTAATACTTTTTTTGAGGTAATTTTTTAGAAATAAAGAAGATAATGAAATTTAAAACTTTTGGCACCATAAGTGATAAATTAGGACATTGCAATGGACATTAAAATAACATTGCTTGCATATACGAAATAGCAATTTCGACTTAATGTATGTTTGAGTAAGGTTTACAATGCATGAATTGAGCACATTTGTATTTTTACTTGTCTGATATTTATTTATACTAGTATATACATTTCAGAGATATCCCTAATAGTAAAAAAGGGCAGCATGCTTTTTCAAAAACACAGGCATCTTCAGTTTTGAAGAGCACTAATCTTGCTAAATATGTTAATTATATCTTACTTGATGAATTCTGCTTCAAAACTGATTTAAAAATACTCAAATAAATAAGAGAAATAATAGTATTTGTTATTAACTTAGCCTAAAAATAATTTCTACTAGTTTTGGTAATCTGTAGTTCCTGGCTCTTTTAAAGAGCAGACAGGGGGGAGGGTCCCACTTCTCAACACACTTAGGGAGAAAACTGTATATTTATATCCCTTTAACTATAACTTTTTGTTTTACGAAAAATTCTTTAAGTCAATGTTATTTTTTTAATAGCATTGTAAGTGCAATATTATTATAATTTTTAAAAAGTCAAAAATTTTGGGCGACAAATTGTTTTAGGACTTTAAAACATTATCTTACAATATATTACAAATTCAAGTGCATTCTATGCCAATCCCTGGCAAAAATACTTCCTATAGTTAAGATTGTAAAAATTAAATCTTCTGACCATTAAATATAAAAATAAACCAATTTAATAGTTTAAAACTTACTAGTTAGGTATAAAATGCACATCCTATAAAACTTATTCTAATAGTTTTACTGATTAAAAGTTAACATAAGTTTTAAGCTATTTCTTTTTTCATTTGTAGCTTTTATTTTAAAAATCTAATTATTGGTTCACCAAACTTTGACATTGTGAATGATATCGCAATTTTATTAATTATTTAAAAGAAATGAATAAAAATGTATGACTAATTTCATTTATGCTTAACTATAATTTAAGTCAAAAATTTAAAATAATAATTTCAAAATAACCTTTTTATAAAAGCAAATTGTAAGCTTATTATTATTATTATTATTTTGATAAAGTTCTGCACCTGTTTCTTACCAGCCCAACTTTAAAAATTAGAGGGGATATGCTGTTCATTTTGTTTAATTCATGACATTCCATAAATTCTAATTTTTTTCTTCTCTTTTTGCAGATAATGTCAAGTATAAAAGTCAACCCAAACCTATAGATCTTCCAGATACATCTCATGAATATGCTTCTATCAATAATATCAGATATCCTGAAATTTCGAGACATGATAGCTCTAATGTATGCATCACTGGTCTCCGACACAAAATATTACCTGATCCTCCAAAATTAATTTATGGAAGTTCATTGGCTAACTGTGAAGTAACATCTAATTATCGAATCAATGTAGCTAATGACTTTTCAAGCACAGATGTACCACCTCCTCTTCCACCTCCTAGAGGGACAATGTGCCCTCCTCCTACTCCGCCTCGCAGTACTCCACCTTTGCCTCCTCCCATAAATTCACAGACAGAACTTTCTCATACTTCAACAAATGGAGTTTGTGTTAAGCAGCCGTATATGAGACGCATGTCACCGGTGCCAACTTCTTCATGGCAAGCTCTCAATTATACTTCGTCTGCTAGCTCTACTCCTCAACGAGGCACAAGTCCAATTACTTCTAATCGTGCCCCTATGGTCGTGGTGAATAATTCTCAAATACATCAGCAATTAACTCAACAATTACAAGCCTTGTCTGTGAATTCAAATGGCTCTTCAGTGTCATCTATGTCCCGAAGTGATGGGCCATATCATGCTGGTAGTTCTAATGGCAAATCATGGTATTCCTCTTCCCCTCAACCATCATATACTTCCTCTAGTTCTGGAAGGCATAGTCCAACTCCAACTATAAGTAGTAGTGAATATTCAATACCTCCTGTTTTTCAACTTAAACGAACTCCACCTCCTGCATATACTCCTCCATCTTCATATTCATCTTCACCCCAGCCATCTCCTCAACATAGAGCTCCATCCCCTGGTGGAATCGTTAATTCTGTTTCTTCAGTTTTATCTCGACCAGCTGCTCTTCAAGCTTGGAGTTCTAGACAAGCAAAATCTCAATCACCTATCATCATGCAGTCTGTTAAAAGTACACAGGTTCAAAAGCCAGTATTACAGACTGCAGTTGCTCCCACATCACCACCTCCTGCTGTGACTGCTGCACCTAATTTTACACCCTCTGGCCAATCATCTGCAGCACCAAACCCTCCACCTCCATATCCTATACATAAAGTTACATCTGTTGCAAGTATTAATTCAGCAGTATCTTCTGACTCTAGCAGTATACTTATGTCACCTGTTAGCCCTTCTTCCTCTTCTTCTTCTCCTTTAAGACCTGTGGAATCTTCTAATCCCCCTCCTCTGTACCCACGAAACCAAAATAAACCTCAATTAACACAGCCTAATCATGCCCCAGAACCACCTCCTTACCAAGTTGCTCCAAATACTCTTCACTCTTCTATTCCACCATCTCCAACACCCCCTCCATATTCCAATCCCATGTGGCAAGTAATGTCGAATTCAACTCAAAATATAGCAAATCAACCTCCACCTTATTTATCTATGTCTTTATCACAAAAACCGCTTCCAGAACCTCCTGTTTCCGAACCACTACCATCTTTATATACTTCTAATGATACAAATCAAAACAAATGGTCTGAACAATCTCCAGAAATATTACCTATGGACAATTGCCCACTTTCTAATGTTCCCACTACTGACCCACCTAGTTATGCATCTAGTATAGCTGTGCTGTCTGCTCAAAGGGCAGCTGCAGCACGAATGACTAAGCTCAATAATAATGTGCCAACCATTATAAGTAATGGGCCAACTTCTAACTCTTTTACTAGTGGACCTATTACTGATCCAGTTAATGGAAATGGAACAAAAGCTACGTCCAATCTTGTAAATACAGTGGATAGCATCTGTACATCCCAAATAACTGCACTTCCAGGATCTTATGTGAATATAAATGGTATGCCCGAAGATGCATTCTCATTTTTTGACAATCATCATACAACTGTTTATAGAAAACTCTCCCCTGTAGCTATGGATACTGCCAGTTCTGCCTCTCGTTCTGAATCGCCTGTGTCCAGGGCAGTCAATCAATCGCCTGTATCATTTATGTCAACTACTTCAACATCATCCCCTTCCACACAATCAGATTCCACTCATGAGCTGAATAAAGTGCAAAACAAAATTACTCAGTTGTCTCCACCTCCACCTAGAAAAATGCTTTCTAAAGAAAAAGAAAAAGAACGCAGAGAAAGTAAAGTCCGAAATTATTCTCCTGCCGCTTTCAAATTTTTCATGGAACAACACATTGAAAATTTGCTTAAGTCACATCAAGAACGTGAGCATCGCCGTCAACAACTCGAGTCAGAAATGGCAAAAGTTGGTTTAACAAAAGAAGCTCAGTGTGAGATTCGAAAAATGCTTCACCAAAAGGAATCTAATTACATCAGGCTAAAAAGAGCAAAAATGAATAAATCTATGTTCACTAAAATAAAAACAATAGGTATAGGTGCATTTGGTGAAGTTGCACTTGTGCGAAAAGTTGACGCCAATCAATTATATGCCATGAAAACTTTACGAAAATCGGATGTTCTGAAACGAAATCAAGTTGCGCACGTAAAAGCAGAAAGGGACATTTTAGCAGAGGCTGACAATGAGTGGGTTGTAAAATTATATTATTCTTTTCAAGATGATGAAAATCTATATTTTGTTATGGATTTCATTCAAGGAGGTGATCTAATGTCACTGCTCATAAAATTAGGTGTTTTTTCAGAAACTTTAGCTAGATTTTATATAGCAGAACTTGTTTTAGCTGTTGAAAGTGTGCATAAAATGGGTTTCATTCATAGAGACATTAAACCTGATAATATACTCATTGATAGAGATGGTCACATAAAACTGACTGACTTTGGACTTTGTACAGGCTTTAGGTGGACTCATAATTCAAAATATTACCAAAGAAATGGTAAATGTTTTTCTTTATATATTCAATTAAATATCTTATTAGATTATACATATTTCAATCAATACATTTAATCATAAATTTTTTTGTTGATAGGCAATCTTAAGAAAACAATGTTCTCTTATTTAGGCTGATCTTTTTTATATTACCAGGGTATATTTAAACTGTTTTTAATTATTCATAACTAAACTGTTTTTAATTTTATTAATTTAACCAAAATGCAAGAAATGAAACCTTTCTTCTTTATTAGAATTTAAATGAAAAAACTCTGCACTTGCTGAACTCAAAAATATGCCCAATATAAAAGTTAAATAATGTTTTGGGTATCTTATAGTGTTTTCTATTCTAGAAAATATTGTAAGTTTAATTGTATTTTAAGTTTATTGTCTGTTATAAATAAACTATTTTGTGCCTTAAAATGATCTGTGATAATGGAAATTGTTTAAGGGGCTCAATATTTTATGTTATTTTTATTTTTACAGGCATTTTCTTACATTATTGTAACGATTTCGACAATTTTATTTTCCTTTTCTCTAAAAGAAGAGGCTAGGGTGCTTGCTACTCTTCCTTCTGAATTAGGAAAACTTTTTCTCCTCAATGCCTTTAATTTAGCTTAATTTTTATTTAAAAGAAATATTCCTAGCTTTCACTATAAGTTTTCGGTATCTAAAAATATGAATTCATAAAGTCGTATGCACTAAATTTTCACACAGTAATCGATTCTTTTAACGATTATTATGCTTTCAGTTTAATAGTGAGTTTGTGAAAATAGTCATTAAATCCAGGGTTATTTACTAATTTTTGACTGTATAATTTTGACACTTTTCAAAACTTAGTTTATTTTGGGATGCTTAAATCATCGTTTTTATTAAATCATCGTTAAAATTGCAAACATTTGATGGTTTTAATTTAGGGACCATCCACTGAATTACACCTTATATCTTGTTTCAATCTTTTGGTCATTTTATGAAAGAGAAACTCAGTATCTTTGCTGTCGAAGTTTATTTGATTGCTACTTTGATCTCTTAGCTGATTTTTTTAATTTAATTATAACTTGATTATATATTTTTAGGAGAGCATGGAAGACAAGACTCAATGGATTTAGATGATAAGTGGGGAAATGAATGTCACTGTAAACCTAGTGCCAATCTTAAACCTTTAGAAAGGAGAAGAAAGCGGGAACATCAAAGGTGTCTTGCTCATTCATTAGTAGGAACTCCAAATTACATCGCTCCTGAAGTCTTGCTCAAATCTGGTTAGTTATGTTTATTATTCTGCGAGTGCTATTCTAATAATCTTATTATTAATAACCTTTTCTGGGAGAGTTCTTTTGATTAAAAAGACCAGAAGTCTGTCTTAATTGGGTTTTAATGTTTTATTGATAAACTTGTATAAAGATTAATTTAATGGTGCCTATTTAGTAAAATATGCTATGTTACGCATTAAATGTCTTAATATTGCAACAAAAAGCAATACCTTTTAAGTTTAATATTTAATGGGATGAAAAAAATCATTAATATGAAATATAAAATGCCAGTATATCTAAAAGACATTTTTATGTCTTTAAGTTGTAGAAGTTAAACAGATAATTTCGGAAAAGTTAACTTGGTATACAAATATGATGTTAATAATTTGAGTTTTTATTTGCATGCATCATGTATAACTACTAGATATGTACCGGTTCTAAAATTTTGCTAAATCCGGGTATCTAGTGAAAATTGAATCTTTTGCTCGGCTGGTTTCAGGTACCTGACAAAAATTTATTTTTTCCTCAGCTGGTTCTGGGTATCCTTTAAAACTTGGATTTATTACCCAACAAAGAGTGGTATTCAATATTTATGCAAAATAATGCAAAAATATCTAATTTTCTATGGAACAAATATTTGACAAGATATAGTTCAAGGAAATTTATTGTGCATCTATATGAGTAAAAGTGTGTGATTTTATTTTTAGATTTTATTAAAATAAGTTTTAATAATATTTCTAAAATAAATTTGAGTTTACTATTCAGAATGTAAAAAAAAAATCATATTTTAGTTGAAAAGATTATTCTAATCTGCATCAGTTTGGAAATTCAATTAGCAAACAAGAAAGTGATTTTATTGATTGACTACTGTTTAGAACTTTCTTGAGATATTTCTTCATTAAAAAATAGAAAGTTAGAATAGATTTGAAAATTTTAAAAAAATACATTAATTCAGTTCAATTACTTGTTTTGTGTATGATTAATAATTCAGACGTTTTTATGAAAATAATTGATTTAGGAAGGTCCTAACTTCAAAGAAAAACTCGGTAATATTGAAATTTATGTTTTTTTAGCAAACTTTATTTATTTTGCCTTATTCTATTGAGAGGACGCCATGCCATGGGAGAACCTTTTCGTTGCAAATTCTCCTTATTAATTTAAAGTTTAAAAGAAAGCAAACCTGGAGTAAGCCATAAAGTCAGTGTGCCTAGTTATATTCACATGAAAGTTTTTTCTTTCAATAATTTGGATTAAATTTTTTGAAGATATTGGATCGAAGGATTATTAACCGGAGTTGGGATTTCAGACACTGAAAACAACGGGAAGCATTAAATAAAAAGCCTAAAAATGACATGTACAATTGTTTAGCAATAAGTATTAGCTTAAATTTAAACACATAAATCAAAAATAAACGTTTCAAAATGCAATTAAATTATTGAAAGAGAGCTTCTTTATTGCATTATCCTAAATTATCTTCTCATAATTTATTTTAATTTGGGTATTTTAAAATTTTCTTTTTAATATTTGAAACTTCATGGTTTACTCAAGTTTGTTTAAATTCACTTTTTCTATACTTTAAATTAATTATGGAGGTGAAAGGGAATTTGTAATGAAAAGTTCCTTCTGTGGTATGGTGTCCTCTTAAAACAGCAATTAAAATTTTTTTTTTGCTAAGGCTATAAGGAATGATATGAATGGAAAGAAACTGGCTAGACCAAATATTTTACAAAACAAGCTTTATCATATGAAGAAACACTTGAAAAAAATAACATAATTATGTCATAGGGTCAGCCAAAATTATCAAAAATCTAAGTTATGATATACAAACAAACTAGAAATGTTTATAATTGAGCTATTGTTTATTTCTTTTTATTTGCACTGTCAGGAAAAATAGCAGAATTTTGTTTATGATTTAAGTTATGCTTATAACAATATGGTTTTATAATATGAAGCTAATTAGTTTTTAAAAATGTTCCTTTACACCCAGGACCTCATCAAATTAGGGCTTTTAATAGATAAATTTGATTCTATGTATGTAAATTTTTGGGTAGTATGTTCTGCAAGCAATCCTAATTCAGATTTTATTTTTAAAGGATATACTCAGTTGTGCGATTGGTGGAGTGTAGGTGTTATTCTTTATGAAATGCTTGTTGGACAGCCTCCATTTTATGCCAACACACCAGCTGAAACTCAGTTAAAAGTAAGTCTTTTCATTATTTATTTGTTGCTATGTATGTTTTTAAGTTTTATTCCGTTTTAAAGTTTAAAAGAAATAGGACAAAAGATAATTATTTGCATATGAGGATAGTAGTAAAGGCACTGAGCTGTGAAGCTGAGCTTCTGAAAGATTGAGGCTCTATTCTTCTGTGAAGGCTTGAAAACATTTGGAATGAACCATCCACTTTAAATTAAGGTGGAGAAAAAAAAACAGTAATATGTGATGAGTGATAATAGATTTCTGGAATCATTCAAAAAAAATTAACATTAACTAAAAACTAAATCAGCGGCGCGACAGCCCATCGAGGGCCAAGGCCTACTGTGCCCCTCTCAGTTTTCTTGACCTTTGGGCTCTGGGGTGCAGGAGCAGATGTTCCGGTTAGGTGGTCAGCCGAATGCGAAACCCCCAGTGTTTAGTTCCCAAGCATGCTTGGTACTCATTTATCGACCCACTTAAGGGATGAAAGGCTGAGTCAACCTTGCCCGGCCCGAGGATCCAACCAGGGACCTGTAGCACGACAGCGCGAAGCGCTACTGCTTAGCCGCCGGGCGTCTTAACATTAACTAATCATACCATTTATTTTGCTTGCTTTTCTAAAAAAAAAATTTCTTCCTTTTCCTAAAGTATAGTTTTTTGAATCGTTTGTTTTTTGTAATCAATGTGATTTATCATAATACTTGACAATGAGATTTGGCCCATATATTCATTTGAATAAAGAGTTAATTTGTATAGTGTAATATTTCTTTTTAATGCAATGCAGTTAAGAAAATGTTTTAAACTAATTACAACAATTAAATACAAGAATAAAATTTTTTTTTAATGTTTTGGCAAATGATGTCCAAGAAAGACAAAAAAAAATTATGAAGATCAGACGTAACTTTAATTTTCCTCCAAGTACATTGAAACGTTAGTCATATTGCTTCAAAAAGCCCTCCAGTGAATAGCCATGATTTTTTCTTGGAGGGCTTATAAAGTGGTATGAGTACTTGTAAATTATCACGAAAAAAAATCACTCCTTTTTTAATTATATTTTTCATCTTTCATGCACAATCGACAGAGGAAACCCATTTTCAGAGTTGTACTTAGTTTTCAGAATTAAAACCCAGCTCAAATAATTTACAGTGAATATTTCATATATAAAAAAGCCTCCAAGATTCTACAAATTTCTCTTAAGCCAGTTCCTTTCCACATCGCAAAAAGACTAATAAAAATCTCTCTTTGAACAACATTTGAGGGAAAACTCCAAGAAGCAAATAAAGATAAGGACTGGCTGGAAGGAATTAAAGATATTCCGTCATGGCCAAGAGAAAAATCTGTGACCCTTTTTCGCCTTGCCACTGGATATGACTGCTTATCAAAACACCTGCACAAAATCCTTTCTAGTCCCTTTTGTAACCTGCAAGAAGAAATGGACGCTAACCATATGAGACGTTGCCCTGCACTTCCTCCTGGGCCCTTGTGGGAACGTTATTGGCGGGCGAGATGCATTATTACAAGCCTATAGACTCTTTCTTTTTGTAGCTCTTGTTTCCGTTTTTTGTTCTTCCTTTATATTGTTCTCGGCTACAAATTTGTCTTTCATGTCTGCCATTGGAAATAAAAAAATATTTCATATATATACTTTTTTGAAGGGTAATTTTTTTGCATTATTTTTTAGGTAATTAACTGGGAAGCTACTTTAAGAATACCCAAGAAAGCTAACATTGCTGACGAAGCTACTGATCTAATCTTGAGGCTGTGTACTGTGGCAGAGTCAAGGTTAGGCAGGAATGGAGTGGAGGAAATAAAGCAACACAGTTTCTTTTCGGAAATAGACTTTAACAGTGACCTCAGGAAAACACGTGCTCCTTACATACCCAATATTCGCTATCCAACAGACACATCCAATTTCGATCCCATCGATTCAGACAAACTGCGAAGTGACAATTCTGAATCAAGTGATGAGGGTAACTTGGATGATCCTAGTGACAATAACAAGCATCCGGAACATGCATTCTTAGAATTTACATTTCGTAGGTTTTTTGATGATGGGGGTGTTTACCCTAATCGAGCACCTCCTCCACCTTTGGAGGAAGCTCCCGAGAAACAAAGTTCACCTGTTTATGTTTGATAATGAGGTTTTTTAGCTTTGTAATAATTATAAGTGTGCTCTTTTATTTGGATGGACTGATTAAAGAGCACTATTGCATAGGCGGCATTCTAGTTATGAAATGTAAATATGCTACAGGCACTTTTGTTTTAGTGAGTATAAAAACAAAATGTTCTGAGCTGGGCTAAAAGTGTAGTTCTCTGTAGTAACACAAAAGCTGAGCAAGATCGCCTTCGGCTTGAAAACCATTGCCTTCTTTGCTTTTGCCTTCTCTAGTTTTCAAGCCTTTTAATATGAATACTATTAAATTCTGTAAATAATAAGAAATTATAAAAAATATTACTATTTATTTATTTATGTATATTTTACAAAAAAAAATTATAAATTATTTTTTTTAAATTTCTTAAGCAGTTGTATTTAATAATTTATTTAAGGATTTTGCAACAGAAATATTTATGCCAGAATAATTTCTACAGAATTGAAAATGTGTATTCTGATAACTTTAAAATTAAGTATTTTTAATGTAGGAAATTGCAATAACATAATACAGGAAGTTAAGTATATAATGATAGATTTACAAAATATTTTGCTACATTATAATATATTTTTAGCTTTTGCTTCCTTTTATAACATTTCATAAATATTTTATATGACTATTTACATGATCATTAAAGAAGAGTCAAGATATACAAGAGAAAAAAAAAGCATAAAAGAAATCTTTCATGTTATGCCACCATATTTAACTCAAAATTTCTTTTTAAACTTTGATGGATTGTTCTATTGGCCCATAGTTTGTGTATATGAAGGAAAAATTTTATGTAATGCACTTAAAAATATAAATTAAAAATGCTTTTCAAGTAATAAATAAACATATCCAGAAATATACTACAAAAAATGAATTTAATGCATTTGTGTTATTTAATAAGAATTTAATGTTTAGATCCTAGATGATAAGAGTTTAACTTCAGAGTAAATATATCTTATTCTTCTAAATCCTCTTGCATTCAAGTAGTTGGTTTTGTATCTACTTTAGATTCTAATGTATCACTTAAAAAATTATCTTTTTACAAATAAGAATATTATTCAGGTCGATAGGAAAACATAATATGGACTTTTGTTACCCATTCTCCAGAAAACAGTTAATGAAAGCTCACATGTATGAGGCAGTGGCAATCAAGACATTACTCAAATTTAGACTGTCGAGATTACATTTAATGCAAGAATATTTTAGTTTAGAAAAGCTGATCATATAAAATGAATTAAAATCTTTTTTCACATAAATCGTCTGTGATTTACACTGATTTATTTAACTTGAAAAGTAAGTTGTAAACATATTGCTCATATTTCTAAACTATGTCCTTAATTGTCTGTTTTTCATTTGAAAATACATATTGCAAGAGTACCAAATTTGATCGTATCTCATTTAATGAAAACTACCGGGCATGTTGAGAATTTTTTTAACCATACATTAAGTTTAAAGTAATGTGCCTTTGTAAATGATAAAATGTATTTTGATCTAGCTAATTAAAACAATAATATTTATGTAGTTAGACCACCGTGGCCTTAAAAAAGATGTTTAAAATGTTCAATTTGTATGCTTTAGCCTTTTTATGGCTTGTTTTGCTAATATAAATATTTTAAATAGGGATGTTCTTATTAAATATGTGTCACTTTCTCTAGAGTGTTGTTATTCTCAAAGGAGGCCTTAATGGTTTTATATGTCAGATGCTGTTTTGCTCTTATTTATTTATAATGACAATGTAAAACAATTAAAGTGCACTTAACTGTTCCATGATTGCCTTTAGTTGGAAATTGCATGTGTTTGTTAATATTGCTTCAATTAAAATTTATATTTCAGTTTAAAAAAATTAACTTATCTATATATTTCTATGGACTTCATGGAGAAGTTATCTTTTTAATTCTTATTTGAATTGAAGTTAATAAGATTTTTTTTTGTGAGATAAATTTCTCCCCATGGGATCCAGAGGTACTTAAAAATATTACAAGTAAAAAAAAAAAGTGTATTAAATAATTTTTTTTATAAGCAATATCTTTTATTTTCATGTTTTTTTTATTTCTGCAGAGTTTCTTTTAAATTAAAAGAAACACTGAATCCCGGTGCTGCAATGAATTTATCAATTCTTTAAATATTTTTTTTCCCACCAAACTATTTTAGCAATTGCAAATTGAATTTTATTTTAGTTAGTTAGGTGTAAAATAACTTATTTCATGAGTATATAATTTATCACAATTCAGTTAAGAAAATAATAGGTATAAATGTTTTACGACATTAATTTGTCTTCATCAAACTTTCAGAGCTATTAAATTTTTGATAATCATATCTGTTATTATGTTTACAATTACTGCTTACAGAGTATTTATATTTTTAAATAAAATACTAATTTAACATTAATAGTCAAAACAGTGTTAAGTTGCATTTGTTAACCTAAAATAAGAATTTTGTTGTAATAAACATTATACTGTATGTGTTCTTAATAATTTAAATGTGTACTTTAAGAAATATGCATTTTTTTCTTAATTTTTATGTAAAAAATTCTTTTACTCAAACTTAATTTGTTTTGATTCATTAACAAACTCGTGCAATCTTAACTAAGCATGTTTACATTTTACAAAGATTTTAACAACTGCTTGCCTAGAAAGAAAAAAAAAAAACTTTTTTTCTCCTTTGAAGGAAAATTTAGTGCTAGATTGTAAGAAACATCTTGTAAATATTGCATTGTTGTCGTATTCTTCTCAGCCTTGTATAGCATTATCATTAACAAATTGTAAATATTAAATAGTTGAAACTTGATTTGTGCATTGCTATGTGTGATTGATTGTTTATATAGAATGCTGGAGGTTTACATAAAGGGCATTGAATAGCCTCTGTACAGATTTCAATAAACATGTTTGTTTTTATTTTGTCTGCATTTTTCTAACACCATATTATTTTTCACTTTCAACTTAAATATAAATCTTAGCATAGATTTGTATTAAATATAATTACAGTACTTAATTATGATATTAGCTATTATTATTTTTTTTAATCTCTTTATCAGAAATTTTAAAAACAAATGTGTTACAAAAATTTTAGTTAAAAATTAAAGATATAATTTTCTTAAATTAAAATGTAGATAATAAAATTGATTTTTCCTGAGAGATGGTTACAAATCTGGAATACTTTAACTATATTAAAAAAAGACAAAGTGTGCAAAACTTCAAATGTTTTTGAAATCAAAAATATTATGCCTATACCTTGTCTTTTATTTGCGAAGATAAATTAATATTGTCCTAATTAAACTTACACTCAGTATTAATTAAACTCCAAATATAAACCAAATTATTTTTATATTTTAAAGATTTGTTGTCAGAAATGTTTACAAAAAGAATTTATATTATATAAAACGCTAATACGTACGTATGTATGTATGTATCAATAAAACCGATGATATTTCTTTTCTCGCGCTGGCAACAGTTTTCATTTTTAATTGATTGGATTCGGCGCGCAAGAGCACGTAGTGAGCAACCAGATAACAATAACCAGAGTGAGCATTATCAGGTTGTTCAATTCAGATTCATGCACTAAAAACATGACAATATTTAATTTAAACTCAATTAGGAATTAATTAATTAATTGAAGTGAGAATGCTTTAAAAGGCCGCTGTTGAATTGATATTTTTCTACTGGGAGCTACCTAAACGTCTAAAAAACGTTTAAGTGTTTGTATTGAATGCATTGAATTTTTTTATATTTCGCGTTTATTTATGCATTGAATTTTCACGCTTTAAAATGCAGAATATTAGTGAAGCAATATTTGATAATTTATTTTGCTAATATGTTTCTTATTTAGCTAATGTTTTGATTTTTTCACCATGTACAATCTAAATAGCTAATATACTTTTTTAAAAGCCAATAAGAACATTGGTAGAATTCTTCTACATAAGTACAATACTATGTCTTTGATGATAAAATACTATGTCTTTGATGATAATATATTATGTCTTTGTGCTAGAACATTGTGTTCATTGGCGAGCGAGCGCAGCGAGCCATGGTTCACTGCGTGAACCACATAGGATTGCGTAGCAATTCTCGGGGGTTGGCGAGCAGGGGGCAGAGCCTCCTAGTCTATTCTTATTTCCAATATTTTTTATCAAAATAGTATTAAAAAAAAGAGTAACAGGCGACAGAAAAAATAAATATTAAAAAAAATGCTTTATTACATGAAGTGTATGATTATGTACAAAAAACAGTTCACATTTTACTGATTCTATCCCACCTCCATACAGAGCCATCATCACAGACACAAAGCAGAATGGAACCATCCTTGTTTAGACTAGTCTGACGAATAGGAGAGTTACATTTTGGATGTGTAAGGACTATGCACCTGTAATTAAAATAATTTTATATTAAGACATATGTTTAAGAAACTTTAATAATATAATTTTTCACTTAAGCAATATAAAATTTTATCATCTTCAATTGAAAATTATCATGGAAAAAAATTGATTTTTAAAGCAAATATTTTTGTTCATGGGTAAACTAATTTAATTTTGGACTAATGTGATTAGGTCTATAGTGAATAATAGTTAATGATTTTAACCTTTTGCATTCTGAGTACTGTAATATGCTGTTTCAGCTAATGTAAAACACTAAATCATTTAAACTACTTAGTATAATATTTTCTATAATTCATAAAATAATGTGGTTATTAATTATCAAGATCTAAAAATTTTAAACCTTGGAAAAGTGACTTTTGAGGTCTACTCAGAGTGCAAATGGTTAAAGGATAATGAGTAAGGAAATGTGGGTTATGAAATCACATGATGCTTTACTACAAAATAAATAATCAACCTTAGGAGTACTTACAAATGCTGTGAATAGAAAATACATTTATGGCTGGTTAGTGCATTTTTGGAGAGGGGGGATCAGAGATGAGATGGGCTCGGGCTTGTTTACTGAAAAAAGTTTTCAAGCTTGGACTAGATAAAAATTTTCCTAAACTTTTCTACCACTCTTAAACAATCTTTTGGCACAGGCATTAGGTAAAAAAAAATTAACATTTATCAATTAATTGTTGTAAAAAAAGGTTTTAATGACTATTTACTTGTGAAGGCAGTAAAGGCCGAATAGCGAGACCACAAAATTTGGCCTTTATCCGACGTACGTCTCGAGCTGTAAGTAATTCTATGTATCTTGTGCGCGGGGTAAGCTCAGATTAAAATTCATTGGGCTCAGAGCTCCAAAAGCGAGCTCGAACTCATCTCTAGGGAAAAGGAAACCATGCATGATGAACCATTTATTTTATGCTCGACAAACATACGATAACATCAAGCAAATCGAGATTTTCAATGGATATCAGAAAAATCAGCTCATTGATAATAAGTGACATCAATTCTAAAAGAGGCTTTTACAGACTTCTTCTAATGTGGCTTCTTGTAATTATGTAAAATATTAAAAGTATACCATAACTAACTGATGTTGCTTTGAGGCAGGGTGAACCATGATTTGTTTTCCATTCCATGAATTTCCAAACAGGCATTTTTTAGGTTGTAGAAAGATAAAATTATTTTTAGAAGTAAAAAGATGTACCTCAAAAATTGTTAACAAATAATGATGAAATGATTACCTAGCAGTTCCAGGATCATCGACATCTAAATCCCAGACATAAGCCTTCCCTACTTGATTCCCCAAAGCTAATATCTGAAATAAACATAAATAAAGCATGTTTCAGAGTTACTAGAATTAACTTGCAATTAACAATTTTACATTAATTATATAATCAAAACAAAACAGGAACTAACTTGCATTCACCAGGGTGCGTAGCCACATCTCTGAATCAAAAATAAGCACTTTTTAAAAACTTTTCAAGCACTTGACAAAAGTTTTCAAGCACTCAAAAAATTCATATTCAATCAATGATATTATTGAAAAACAAAAACTTTTTATAAACAGTTTTAGTGTTAAAAAAAAAAGAAACAGGCGTAAATCGAAACAATCAGTACTTTTCCCACATCACCGAGTGAATTCAACTTGACCCTGAACTCAGAACAAAAGTACCCTTACCCCCTACGTCAAAAAAAGTGTTAGAAGTAAAATAAAATAAACAAGAACAAAATTAAAATAAATTAAAAAGAAAAACATTTCATAAGGATCTGATATTCTCGATCCGAATTGAAGCACTCGGGTTTCGGTTCGGTGTGCGCGCATGCGCAAGTCATAACGTGGGTGCGACATGAAGTCCGCGTGAATGATTAGGTAGCAAACTCCCCATTTTTCGTGAAATGCATGGAATCCACCAGATATCACTGAAGGGAGAGAAAAAATTATTCGGAAAAAAGCACTTTTTAAAAACGCCAGCTGAAAAAAGCCCCTTTAAAAGCTTTTAAAAACGAAATCCCCCCAAAAGCACCTTTAAGTACTTTTTACAACGCACCCTGATTCACGTTACACGGAGAGAAAAACCCACGGTTTGCCTGATGGCAAAATGACTCTAATCCATGATCCGTCTACCACTGAGGATATTTTTCATCAGCACTGTGGTGGTGCAGGCTGGGTGCGGAATTCGAATCAACCAGCCATCACTGGGATTTAAACCCGTTTCAACTCATTGGAAGGCGAGTGCTCTATCCCTTACACCACCATGACTCAGTCAAGTCTTTAATGGGGGAAACAATATTAATAAGAACAGGTAACAGAGGGAAATTGTTCTCAAAAGAAATCTTTAAGACACTAGCCTTCTAAACATCAAGATTTACAGTTCCTGAAAAACTTTTTGGTGAAATCTGAGTCACCAATATTTTATGAAGACCTCCATATTCTAAATGTACCTTAAATGAAAAGACTAAGAGACAGAAAGAAAAACGAAAGAGTCTATCGTAGGTGATGGGAAGTATTAGTGGTTAAAAAAACTGCTTTTGCCCACCACAATTTTCAAATATATCTCGGTTTTTTTTTAAAAAATTGTTTGGGAATGTAAATACATACTAGTGGTATACATGCATATTATCAAGTTTTCACGATTTTAATAGTATGCTTGCTCCTGAGAAGTTTCAAACCTTGAAATTAGTTTTTTTTCTCAGAGTCAACTTTTGTGGACATAATTGGTCTTTAATTATCTATTATATGAGTACTACTCCAAAGTTGTGATGAGCATTTCTTAGTTTTCACAAGTCAAATATATTTTTTGAATAAAATTTGGACTTTAAAATATATCTAACACATTAACATAAGCAATGCGAGAAAATTTAAAAGCTGTAAACTACAAAGATTATATAGTATTTTTAATTTACCTTTTGTTCTGCATCTAATGAGAATCGCATAAACCATATTTCACATTCCTTGAATTCATAGCGTTGAATGATGGTCACTGAGTTATCAGTGGGAGTAATCTCAAGTTGATCCAACTGTCCAGGCTTCCAACATATAATGCAGTTTTCACAAGACTACAAATAAAGCAAATAATTCATTACATTTTGAGATAAAGCTCATATTAGTAATCAGTTACTGGCAAGAATTAATTAACTCTATACATTTTCATCTTTTTAATTATATCTCAATTAGAAATCTCAATAGTGTTTTCTTACTATTATTATTTTGCATGCTGTGAACTTTCAGCAAATAAGTTTAAACATAACCATTTATATTGGCTAATTCTAAAATCCAAATATTAAAAAGAAAAGGGAAAATGTAATAAATGAAATTTAGCACAAAATATATTGAAAGCATTTCTAATATATTTAAATATCTATTTTAAATAATTATGGTTTTTCTTTAAACTGTTGACCCTGAACTCTGTTTAAAAAACCAGTTGGTGACTTTACAACATGGAAAACCAATTTTTTACAACGAAGAAACTTTACATAATCAGAAAATTTCTGTTCCAGTTTGCCCAAATAGCACTGCAATTCAAAGATTTAACAGAAATTGGGTATATATATGTTACCGGCAATGTAAAAAACGCCGGCATTCTATAAAGGCCTAGGCATTGTATAATGCGGGATGTTTTTAGGCAAGTATGAAATATGAGAAGCATTAGATACTTTCCCTAGGCATTGTATACAATACCTAGGCATTCTATAGAATAACAAATGCTATTTAGGCAAAGTATGAAAAAAACGTCCTGATGAGGTTATTTTGTAAATGATGCGTATTTCTCAAATTTTAAATTTTAAAATAAAAATTTTATTCTGAAAAAATAATGAGAGTGAAATTAAAAAAAATTATTCAAAATGCTTAAGGAAAAATGAAAGTTGTACAAAACATAATTTATGCCTTTTTTATTAAGGGAAACAAAATTTTCATATAAAAAATTCACATTTAAGTCACAATTATTTTGTTTAGAAACAAATATTGCACAAAATATCCATTTCATCACCTTTGCTAGCATGGCCACAGAAGATTTTATACTTTGTCGGTTTCTCATTTGGCATTCTATAGAATGCCTAGGAAATGTGTGAAATATAAATTGCCAGCTAGTTTTAGGCATTATGTACAATGCCTAGGTATTCTATAGAATGCCGGATTTCAAACTTTGCCGATAACATATATAAAAGAATATAGAAAGGAGAAGTCCAGTTCTTCGAATACGTAACTAATGTGGGGAACACTGCGGTGTGGTGTGCTATACCAAAAAAAGAACCAATTTATGGGGTGAGTGACACACTCAAGTTTAGCAGAGCATCATACGTACTAAGATGAAGTGCAAGTGCATAAGAAGGAAAGTGACAGTGGGGAACCTGTGAACTGGTAGTTGGACAACTCTAGATGTTTGGTTGGGTGCACTACCTCCCGCCATTTTATTCTTTCTTTTAATGACAATATGTATTAGCAGATTTACTTAACATGGGTGATATAAAAGAATTCTCAACTAATAGTACAGTACTGCTTATCTACAATGTAAAAATGCAGATAAAGCAAGAACTTTTCTTCTCCTCCAAAGAGGAGATAAAATTAAGAGAGGAGGGTGCAAACGCGTTTCAAGAACCTCTGCTACTGTGTCCCTAAATGTTGTTTTTTCTTTTAAACACAGGTTTGCATTATACCTACGGAAGCTACCCTTACCCTATGGGTATTCTTCGATATATATACATATAAATTTCTACGATTTGAACATGCATAGCCAAACTCAAGGCAGAAGAAAACAGGGACATTTATCCAATATATCTTTTCTTTAAAAAAAGAAATCCGAAAATACCATTTACTTGCACCTTCTGGATTATTGGGGTTTTACAGTACTTATAATCCTAAAATTTTACATTTGGTTTAATAAAAAACATTTCAAAAAATAAAAAGAATCAAAAGATGTTCCTTTTATTTCTTGAAAACAAAACAAAAAGATTTTCGTAAATTAGCAATATATATTGATTTCAGTAAATTGTTTTTAATGCAACTTCTGTTTCACATAGTTTAAAAAATAAAATAAATTCCATCTATAAAAAAATTCATTTTCAATGAACTCATAAATATACTTTTGCAAATGTCCTGAAAAATTCCAAATGAAATATCCTAAAAAAGCATAAGAGTTAAAAAATATATATGCATATATATAAAATAAATGTTGTCAAAACCTGCACCTTAATTCTAATATACAATCATGGACAAAAAAATTAGCGCACCTTAGCTTGGTGCGCTAATTTTTTTGTCCATGAGTGTATAATAGACATATTGTAAGAATTCGAAACATAGTTACTTTAGAGAGAACGAGATTTCCCATCCATCTGACACAGTCAACATAATTCATATGAATGTCACGAGTTGTAAAAATAGGAAAATGTTGCTTCAGAGTGTTAAAAGGCCTGAAAACATATGTTATCGTTTAATGCATTATACAGTACATATGCCATAAAGCACACATATAGATTCTGATCTTTAGGAAATCAAAATTTTTAGATATTAATGATAGTTTCAAACAGATATGATGAAACACAAATGTCAACAATATACAAGGTGTTCACAAGCACTCAGAAAAATAAATTCTCAGATTTTTCCAGAATAACCTAATAAAATTTTCCTGATTTGAAACCATAATTTTTTTCAACACTTTTTTAGTTCCGTCTCATTTATGTTAATAAAATAAATTACAAAGCACTTTTACTTATTATTATTGTTTACCTGAAATTAAATATGACAAAATGATCTAGACATTCTCAAAATAAAGCAAACACACAATTTCCCCCTTTTTAATTACAGCAACACATTTTTGATTTCTCTGCTTTTATTTCACTTAACTACAATTTCAGCAGAAAAACATTAAATTAAAAATACAAGTTATTCTATAACAAAGCATAATTAATAATAATAATAAATATTATATCAAAACAATTCTTAATGAATAAATTTTAATACACTTAGTAGATAATTTAAATATATTTCAAACGAATTATTTACTAATAAACCAAATAACTTAAAAGAAAAAACAGTTATTATATGAGGAATATGAACTACTTTTTGATTTTGGTAAATAACAAGTTCATTTACAAGCATGCATGTAATGAGATTACTGTCAACATAAAATAAAATATTTTTTCATTAAATTTACAATTAAATTAATGCATAATTTATTCATTTTATTTCACTATATTTTTATTTTGAAGTAGTAGCTTTAAGTTAAGTAATAAGAAACAGTTAAAAATTTTCACCATTATACAGGGTGTTTATAAAGTCCTGGACCCATTTTGATGTTTAATAACTCATAAAATAATAAAGATAGATTAAAATTAATAACATAAATGGTCAGATAGACTCAAAAAGTTTCATGACCCTTGTCAATGAACTTCCACGTTTGCCCCCTTCGTCGCACGGAGAATATCAAGTTGATAGTCAATTTCACGCCAGGTAGCGGCAATCATGTCGGCATCCACGGAAGCTATTGTGGTTGTGATTCTGGCTTTTAGGTCATCAATGTTCAACATGATCCTCCTGTAAACATTGTCCTTTACAAATCCCCAAAGAAAAAAGTCCAGCGGCGTTATATCAAGTGATCTGGGTGGCCCAGGAATTGGACCTCCTTCTAGTTGTGGAAATACGGAGTTTTCCAACATGTCTAAGTATACGACTGATGAGATCGTCTTTTCTGAAAAAAGAAAGGCCCAATGACGCGGTCATGCATTAGTCCACACCACACATTAACCTTCGGGGAATCCCTTTGTGTCTCATGGTATTCATGGGGGCTTTCAGATCCCCATTATGGCGATTAATAATGCCAGAAACATGAAAGGATGCTTCGTCGGAGAACATTATGCGCTTCAGAAAACCGCAATAGCCTCTGTGGATGCCGACATGTTTGCCGCTACCTGGCATGAAATTGACTATCGACTTGATATTCTCCCTGCGACGAAAGGGGACATGTGGAAGTTCATTGACATGGGTCATGAAACTTTTTAAGTCTATCTAACCATTTTTTATGTTATTAATTTTAATCTATCATTATTATTTTATGAGTTATTAAACATCAAAATGGGTCCGGGACTTTATAAACACCCTGTATTTTGAAATTGTAACAATTTATTTTTTGTAATTTTATTAAATGCAACTAAATAAAAGTTATACATTGGTTCAAACATTTAAGATAGATAGGCAATATATAAATATGATTGAATTAAAAAAAAAGAAGAAGAAAAAAAAAATCATAATTTTTTTAACAGTAACTATACAGAAAGTTCCTTTTAAATAATTGTAATTATGTGTATAATTGTAAAATTTAAATAAGTTTTTAAAATAAGCTTGGTTTTTATAAAAAAAAATATATATATGGAAAAGTAGTCACAGTTTATTATAAGACATTTGGATAAAAAAAAACACACACGCACACATATAATGAGACAATATAGCATTTTAAAAATACTTTCAATATTTTGTGTTACTTACACAAATATTATAACAATACATAACAGCATAAATAAAACAAAATTTTTCTGCTAAACTTGGATAAAAGTTTATAAAAATAATACAATTAAAAGTATAAATTAAAAGTGTATAAAAATTTACTTGTTTGATTTAGATGGATTATACTCATAAGATTCCTTGATAGCATCTTGAACATTAGGATCATTTATTTCCCATATCTTTAAAGAGTGGTCCATGCCACAAGAAACTATTTTCTGACCCAATAAATCAAAATCCTGTAAAATTAAATACCATACTTCAAAATAACCATTATCAAGTTATAGCAGAAAACAGAAATTAAGAATACAGTTTCAAAAGGAATTTTGTGTTAAAATATTCCAAAAAAGTTATTTTTCAGTTGTAGTTGCCAAAGTCTATAACTCAGCATTCATGCTTTTTGTAAAAATGTGCATTTTGCATAACTTACAAACAATCGCTTTGGAATAAATTGCCAACTAAAATGTTTCCCAAAAAAGACTTTTTTATAAATGAAAACACATGAAGTTCAATAAAATAATTAAAAGCAGAATTCAAAACTAAGGAATTTTTTAAGAATCTAAAACAGGACATCAATTACTCTGAAATCAGCCATCAGTGATTCTTCACTGCCAAGCATGCGTAATGGGATTGCATACAACTTGTCTGCAGAAGGGAAATTCAGAATGAGAAAAAAAAGACATGAAAGACAGCTTAATGATGTCACGATTGCAAAGAATTTTTCAGTACATAGCTTCCGTAACAATGAATGTTCTTTTGCCTTGTATGATTTTTTTTCCATTTGCACATTTTCTCGTGCAGGTCAGTTGGCTGAGCAGTTAGTGTGCTGAACTGCGAAGTCAATGGTTGCAGGTTGAATCCCTAGGGCATGGATGTTTCTCTCTATGTGTTGTACTCTGTTACGTGAATGTGGTCTACACTATGAATGGGGATCCGTGGCAGTGTGGTGTGGGTAATGTTGTTTGACCCGTTTACCTCTGTGACTTAGGTTTACAGGGGCCCATTGGGTAAAGTTAAATGAGCAACACTTTTGGCATCTTCCAAGGCAAAAGAACAAGAGTTTAATGTCTGCCATTAAAAAAAAAAAAAACTTTTTTTTGGGCTGCAACAACTTTATTTTGATTTAAGCTTTATTACTATGTTTAATTGTTTTTTTTATAAATTTCCTTTCCAACTACCAAGTCAATTTTTAAAATTTTTTTTGTTGAATGTTACGATGAGCTAAAATGTGAAAAAGTCGAGTAGTCCCGCAACAGCTTGCTGTGAGCCAGGAAAATCAAGGGGACTATGGCTCCATAATTTTGTGCAGCATGATTGTGGTCACTATTAAGCATAGCTTCCCAGACAAGCGGATACCTATTGATCTGAAGCTGGGAGCCTCACTAAGGATCAGCCTACAATCCTTCACAATTGACACCTATATGACACTTTAACCACCGAGAGGTAGCTAATACCTGCTAGCTATAAATATTGCAATATTTTTAAAGCATTTTTTAAACATCTAATAGTGACCATGAAAGTAGTCTGTATAAGCTAGTGGCATCTATACAGACTAGTAGTTTATTTGTATTTTCATTCTTTCAGTATTTTAACATTAAAATTTTTAGTACTTTCTATGGTACCAAAATAGGGTTAAAATATTAAATTTGTGCTTTACATATTGTTCTGAACTATATTGTACTTCAACACCAAGATTATAATGTTTCTCTATGAAAGTTTTATTTTATACAAATAAATGAAGTTTAAAATTTGAAAACTCTATGTATTTGTGAATAAAAAAATCTTAAAAAAACGAGAAAACAGAATGTTTACAATAATTCTGTTTTCAAATTAATTTTTGAGATATAAATTATTTCATACTAACAGTTTCTAGAATGGAAAAAATTTGAGAATTTAATTTTATTTCATTTCTCATGAGCAATGTTAATACTTACATTAGGTAACAACATTCCTAATAATTAGTAACTATGTACAAGAATGTCAGAAAAATAAATTTACAAACAAGTGGGAATAAGTAATTAATTATAGATTAGTTTTTACCATAAAAATGAATTTAAAGTAAATATAGTAGAGCTTTGATTATCTGACTCACTGTTATTGAATGCTTTTCTCAACTTATGCCCAAATACCTGAAAAGTTTTTAAAAATTTATTTAAACAATTTTAAAACCGACATCGTGATTCCTCATAATCTGCAATAACGCTGATTGTGTGTGATTCATTACATGAAATGCATGTTATGAATCATTGATAAAGCAACTACTTAATTATTCGACTCATATAAATTTACTTTGGAACATAGGATAGAAAAAGCTTCAAACCCTTTCTTACTTAATTTTAACTTTTGTCTAAGTTATCGTTGTTTTCTGGCAGATGCAAAACATTTCACTGTGCTATAAAATATTATTCATAATGAAAATTCTTAAACAGACAATTTGACAATTTTGGACACCTCTGTACATTAGATAATTGTGTATACCAATATAATCACAAATGAATATCATATTGTAACGGAAGTGTTTTTATAGAACACATCTGGTATGCAATGAAAACAATTTACTGCAAGTCAACTTTTAACAGCAGTATAGCAACATTATGTCTTCAAAACATGAATGTTAACTTTAAATATTATATATAGCTTTTTTCATACAAGTTCATTTTTTGGTATCTTATTTTGTAACTATTAAGTGGTTTCTTCATCTTATACATATGAATAAATCTTTTTAGAACAAGTTAGCATTTATTTTTAGGGAAGAACCATTACAATATTTGATAAACAGTTTTATAAGAAAGCAAAAAGTATATAATCTATACTAAATTAAAATTATTTTTATAAAAGAATATGATGCTTACAGCACTTAAGACTTCATCTCTATGCCCTTCAACACCACCAAATATAGCAATACATTGATCGGTTTTAGTATTCCACAATCGTAAAGCATGATCTAAAATTTAAAAGTTTCAATTAAAATTAATATGTTATTGCAGTAAAAAAATTTACATAGAAAAATTTTAGTTCCAATATAAATGAACATTATTTCTTAGTTATTTTACCTTTGCTGACTGAAAGTAGTATGTTACATTCATAAGGGTGGAATTTCAGTTCATTTATTGCATTTCCATGTCCAATGTAGTGCTGCAAAATATTATAAATTCTTTACTATTTTTCAATACATAAAAAAGTTGAAAAGAAAGCTTTGCCCCTGCCCTTTTTTTGTAAAAAAAAAGTCTTAAATTCAAGCTATTTCAAAATTTTAAAGTCAGTTCAAAATTGTTTTACTTAAACAATTTTCTTTTTGATTTAAATAATACTTTTATTTTTTTTGTATTATAGATGAATGGAGAAAGAGTGTTTTTTTTTTGTTTTTTTTTGCCCAATTACAAATCTTATTTAAAAGTGAGAGTTTAGAGATGAGTTTCGAATCATTTTTTGAGGTCTGAGCCTGAAGAATTTTAATCAGAGCCCAAGTTCACTTTAAGATATACATTGAATAAAGGACAAATTTTGGGGTCTCATCACTCTGCCTTTGATGTCTAAACAAGGAAATTAGTCATTAAAACCTTTTTTATTACTAACTTATGAATCAAAAAGCAAAGATAAAAATATAGAATTGCATGTGAAAGAGAAACTTTGAATAGGATTGTCAACAACAGCAAACATACAAGTTTTAAATGTCTGTAAAATTCCCAATTACAAACTCTCCTCATAAAGTGTTAAGTTTAAGAATTTATTTTTATTTTACTCTGCTGCCTCATCTATTGCAGTGTGTAAGAATATCCCAGTAAAGTAGTTAAAAAGTTTAAATATTTTATCATGAGTTCGATCCCCAAACTTTTTTTTAGTAAATGAGCCAATCTCATCTCTACTGCACTGATTCAGAGGAAGCACTTAGTATGTATAATGTAATGAATTTTGCAATAAATTTTAATGAATTTTGTTTATGTTGCAAACAGAGAATTATTCTTAAAAAAATTACAGAAATTTATGGGCAAAAACAAGGACAGAACTTAGCTCACTGGATAGCAGCAAATTTTGCTTCGATAAATCATCAATATTATGAAACTTTTAAGTCATAACCTTAGATGTAACTTATGATTGCTTTTATGAAATTTTAGGCCACATTTACATCAAATTCTGTTCAAAAAGTAACAGACTTTGATTAATAAAATCAATAACTCACATTCAAAATGCTTTTTAAATTTTGAGGATTGTTTCCACTTGAGAATATCAAAGCTTTGGACGAAAATTGATGCAGTTACGTTGTTCAATTTTTCTTCTCGGGTTTAATTTTGTCATAAAATTAAACCCGAGGACTCTATATGTGCCGATTTTTTTTAAGGTGTTACGTCAATTGATTTGTGGGATGATCATAAAAAAAATTTAGCTAGATTATACCTACTAATTGTCAATAAGCCATACCCTTAACTTCGTTCTAACTGCTAATAAAAATTGTGGTCACATACTTTTGAACAGACATAATAAGATTATGAAATTGAAAACTGTAGCTAATAATAAGCAAATTAATATTGATGAAACAAATATAAATTGAAACAATTTGTTTACTAAGATAATCAATATAAAAATTTAATAAGCTTTATTTCTAAAACAAAAAAATTTTCACATCTTTTTTAATTTTTTTTTACAAATTATCTTTGGTTTACAAGATTAAGATTAGTTTTGTCCTGTAACAGAAAATTTAAAAAAGCAGTTACTCAATAGAAGTGGTTAATAGGGAACTGCACATGAAATTTGTTTCGATTAAAATGCTCAAAAAATTAGATTTCAAAAGCTGTTACTAGGAACTATGATTCTCAGCACAGCACAAAAAAATTTATCGTCTTGTTCTTAACAATATTTAGCCAAGGGCCGTGGAGGCTCAGGGAATAGAGCACTCGTTTTCCAACTAGGTCAACCAAGTTCAAATCCCAGCATGGCTAGTCGATTTGAATCACACACTCGGCTTGCACCGACCACAGTGCTGGCGTAAAATATCTTCTGTGGTAGACGGATCACGGGTTAGAACCCCCTTGCCGTCCGGGTAACCTTGGGAGATTTTCCTCTCCGTGTACTGTATATTCCGGCGCATAATGCGCACCCGTAATTTCTAATACTTTTTTTAAATTTTAAGATATACTCTTCGTGTAACGCGCACGAAAATTTGGATTGTACATTTGCAATATCTCGTCTTTCAAGATCGTAAATAAAAAGTTTTTTTTCCCTATCTTTTGCAAAAATAAAAGAATTGAATATGACATGTATGTGAGGGTACAGTTGAAAGAGTAATAATGTGATTCTGAGATAATGAACTATTTATGTAATAGCGAAAATCAATAAAGTATATTGGTAAAGGAATGTTATTTCTTTAAAAGAAAAGTATTTTTCTACATTTAAATTTTTTTAATCTATAATTTTTTATATTCAGCGTATACCATGCACCCGTAAATTCCAATGTTATTTTTTGTATTAAAAGTGCGCGTTATACGCTGGAATATACGGTAATCAAATGTGGGTTACTTTTATTAAAAAGTCCTCCACAATAGCAAATTTAATCAAATGGTTAATCCAGAAGCTCCCCTGTCTTTAGGATTGGGTTCAAAACTGAAAGGATACGGAATTAAACATTGGTAGTTGTAAACTCAAAATTGGGTCGGCTGTTCAATGACGGTAATAAAATAAAAAAATACTAGGCCAAATGATTTTTGATCTAACATTTTAAAATACTTTGAGACAGGAAATTACAAGAGAAATTTTTCAAAATTTGATTCGTTATTATTTTCACAAAATATTTATATTTTTATACTCAAATAATAAAAATTAACACAAAGTAAACAAAATAAAAACAATTCTATATTCACACCACGTAGTGCACACTCAATTATGTGTTCTGTTATATGCCATCATAAAACCAGAATATCCAATATTCATGGTGGAAAAAAATAATTTTTAACATCTATCAAAATTTTCCATGTGACACAATCAAAACTTACTTTAATAGTTTTCTGCACAGAAGGACCAATAATTCTAATAACCCCACGAGTACCAGCTGCTGCTAAATAGGGATGTCCAGTAACATCATCAAAAGACCAGGCACAGGTGTAAAAATTTTCATCTGTCTATATTTCATTTTAAGTACAACATATATTTATACATATATATACAAGGTTTGCAAATCAAGTAATTTTCATCAGCCTATATTTCATTTTAAGTGCAACATATACATACGTACAAGGTTTGCAAAATAAGTAATAAGACCGATGCTTTTAAAACCTTAATTTTTATAGAATTACAATCAATTCATTAAAACAGAGCTTTGGTCAGTATTAAGTGAACCATTCCAGGTTCTGTTGCCTGATTTCTGAATCGTACTCAAACATCCAACTCTCATCACTAGCAATGACTTATTCTAAAAATGAGGATCAATTTAAAACAATACCGAAAAGAGAAGACACTTTTCAGTCTTCATCTCATTTTATTTCAATAAAAAGTTTGTTGGAACTATTTTTGAGTAGCTCTTTCTCGTCTCAAACTCAAAAGTGAAAATCTGATGAGTGGGGATAAGAAAATGATTTAAATTCAAGTGTTCTACAATCATGCCGACAGTTAAACAATGCTCTGAATGCTGAAAGATTTTGAATTATGTCAACATTTTCATTAGTTCTTGCAATTGAATGCAACATTGGGAAGTAAGTTTGAATTTCTTCTTATTTTCAAATTCTTATGACAACTTTGTTGAAAAAATAATAATGAAGAAACACTGTCAGTTGCATTTTTGATTGTTGAGAAAATTCTAAAAATAAGAATGCATAAGGATTTTTTGCTATACTTCCATTACTGTTGCAACAGCTTTGAGACAATTGATTCCATTTTTTTTGTTACTTTTACTATTGGGATGAGGTTATAATAATAGTCCAAATTTTTTTTTGAGGGTTGAAAGATAAAAAGGATATTTATTTTAACTCTTTTGTTTTAGATATGAGATGAAAAACAAAACCAGTGATATCAAAATATTGCGAATTAAATTCCAAGAATTGAGCAAATGGGCAAAATTGTACCAAAATTTCCAAGTGTCCCACTACTTTCTCATTGAAATAGGAAAAACGATTTTTGAACCCGAATTTGAATGAAAACCTGCAGCTAAAAGTTTGAAGAAAATAAAAGAAAAGGATACATCAGGATCAGCATATGCTTGAATCAACTTAAAGTTTTCTTCAATACACTCATATATAGTGACCTAAAAACATTCACATTGTTAATAAATTATAGATATGAAATGAAAAAGAATCTAGCACATATTGTATAAAAATATATAAAAAAAATTTTTTTTAATTAAATGTGTAATAAATACTTAATTTGTCAATAATTTTTGTGAGAACAACCCCAAGTCTATAAACTGACAATGGATCTACCCTAATTTAAGTGAGTTTGACTATACATTCAATGTAAAATATCTGTGCAAAAAAAAAGATCTAAGACATAAAACTAGTTTGTTAGTAAACTAGTTATAACTACAGTGAAACCTTTTGAGAGAGACCACTCTTGGCTCCACTGTAAAATAGTGGTTAATGGAGATCGGTCGTTTGCAAGGGTCACCTCCATTGACTTTAAAATGTTGTCAAAGGTACATGATTTTTCAAAAGCAATTTTAATAGCCACTTTCTTGAGCGAAGATGCCACTTGTGTTGGCGTCATGAAAACCAGATCAATGAATAAAATTTAACATAAATAAAAATGACCTCTATAGATATAAGTATGTGTAAAAACAAATTTATCAATTATGAATGATAGAACTATTTTAGATAAAGAAACAATTGTGTTTTTGGTTAAAGTTTACATCTTATTTTATATCAAAAAATTTGTTATATTTAAAAAAATGAGAATTGTGTGAGGTGCTTACTTTTTTCTAAAATAACTTTTCTTTCCAATTTAGCTTTCGACTCTAAAAATAAATCATTCTTAATATCGGCTTTAGCGTACTCTGACTGCGACATGAGGTTGTTGATATCTTTCAAAGTTTGTTGCCCACATTCATTCTCCTCATTTTAGCTATAGGAATCAGATTGAGTGCCGGAAGATGCAAAAAAAAAAAAAAAAAAATTCCAAATCCTACCAAAATTAAAGAAGCTTTAGAGCAGGTGCTCTTCTTTATCTCCACTAAAGTTGTCGCAACATTGAATACTCTCCTCATACACAGCTGACTTGGGATCATACTCTATGTTACAAATGGCAGAAAGTTGTACTACTTGATCCTCCCATGAAGAGTCCACAACTTCAGGAATGTTTTTCTCAATTTCAAATTTGTCATTCCGCAAGAAGCAAAACAATTTTTGATAGTAATGGAATCTTATTTCTTTCTGTTGTACTGAATTAGCAGCAGATATTCTTTTCACTAGCATATAGTCCTCCAAACGAGAAATGATAGATTTTAGAATCTAACATCGAAGGCCGGGATAGCCTGGTCGGTAGGGTGCTGGGCCCATGTCCGAGAGTGCGTGGGTTCAAACCCCGCCGACCGAAGACACCCCGTGTAAATGGTGACTGGTGCACATTAAAATCCTGTCGAGTTGCAAAGTCCTCCATGTTCCCATAACAAATCAATACCTCTGGGGGTACTGGATTGGAGATCGATCGTTCTCTGATTCAGGTCAAAATTACTATCTGTGGATGAATGAATGGGTTCGCCTTATAAACAGGTGCGACGTGTGATGTGGCGGAAGTCGAATTCTTGGTCATAGATGGCGCCACTGAAAAACAAGAATCTCACACTCTGCCTTAAATTTGCCCAGTTTCACCAAGCAGGTTTGCCCGTGTGGCAAGTGGCATTAGAACCAACCAGAATCTAACATCTATACTTCATCTTAAAACACTTGAGAATTCCTTTAACTAAAATCTGCAGTCTACCAGTTGTATTTGGTGGCAAAAATACTATCTTTACACTCTCCAATTTTATTTTGCAAGAATGACATGTGGCATTATCAATGATCAGAACTTTTCTATCTTAATTTGTCATCTTCTCATCAAAGTTTTTCAACCATTCATTAAAAAAAATCCTCTTGACATCCAAGCTTTTTTTATTATATTTTGATGTAACACCCAATGTGTTGAGATCTTTACATCCTTAAAACAGCATTGGTTTGCAATCTTCCATATCACTAAGAGTTTCTACTTCTTATCTGCAACACTTACACAAAATGCATGTAAACTCCACTTTTACCACCTCTTACTTCCAAGGATTTTAACACTAAACTTTTTGTTGGCGAAGTTCAAAACAATAGTCGTTTGTAAATGAAATTAAATGTTTGGTCCATATGTAAAATATCTTTCTCACCATATCCAGCAAATAAAAGTAGTAGTCTTGTCATCCAATCTTCACAAAGAGTTTCTGTTTAATCAATATCTTTTGTTTTTCCACATAACGCATGAAAACTACGTTATTGACTAATGCAAAATTTTTCAAACCCCCATTGCTGAAAAATTGTCCATTCCAAACACATCAGCGATTTCCAGAACCTTTTTTTTCTATCTAGGATCTAGTTACTGGGATTTTATTTGTTATTGACTATTGCAAAATTTTTCAAACCCCCCATTGCTGGAAAATTCTCCATTCCAAACACATCAGCGATTTCCAGGGCTCTTTTTTTCCATCTAGAATCCAGTTACTGGGATTTTATTTGTCTGTGCTGTTTTAAACCATTCAAATAAAACTTCATTGAGGCCTAAAAAATCTTTCTTGGTGTCTGCATTTTACACCTAAGAATTTAAAACTTTCCCATTCTTTTTTAATCATTGCCTCTTTTTTTTTCAGAGATTTATTTATTTGTGTCATGCTACAGCTGAATATCTCAGCAAGTTTTCATTCTGAATTTCCCTTTTCATGCAACAAGATCATACCTTTCTTATTTTAATCTTGTCATTGGAAATGAAAGAGATTACCCTTTTGGAGTCATCGCAATTTATTTTATACACTTCTTTTTCCCCCCAGTAGAAACAGGAGAAGGATATGATTCTAATAAGAAGGAGCCTGGAATCTGAAAGTCGGAGCATGATACGAGTCCATTTGTAAAAACAGAAAAGGAGCAATTGTGAATGGGGGAAAATCTTTTGCACCAATCTCAGTTGCTGATAAATTGAAACCCCTGCTTAGAAAAGAGCTATCTAAAACATTTTGTTTTGCTTTTTTATTTATTCATTTTTCTTTTCTTATTTGACCTTTTCTGCATTTAGTGCAGAGATTTCCCTGGCCATTAGAAGTTTTAATGGAGTCTTGTAAAGGTTTCCTTCAATACAATGACTACGGAAAAATTTCTGTGCCTCCTAAAATTGATCTAAATAAAGGAGGTCATTATATAGAGGTGGTCTTTCCTAAAGAATTCACTGTAGCTAAAAAAAAAACATTTTTTACAACAAAAAACTCAACAGTTCTTTGTCATAAAAAATTAATGACTTTTTTACTCATTTAAAATTAACATCCCCTAATGCAGAACACTTAGTGTGAATAAAAAAAATTGTTCATTTAAAAGACGGAATAAGAAGAGATCACTACAGGATCTTAAATTAATTTTTTTTGTGCATGACCATATAAATAAAAGAAACAGGAATGATATCATTTAGGCAGTTTATAAAATTTCTGCATCATCTAATTAACATCAATAATTTTACACAAAACTTACCCTGTTGCTTCCAACGGTTGCAAAAATATTCTGTCCTTCCTTTACGTAAGGATTGAATTGTACACCAAATAATGGTTGGCCATGATCTTCCTGCAATAAAACTTGGAATTAAAAAACTATAGAAACAAAAGTCACCCTGCAAAATTTTAATTTTATTATTCATCAAAAACACAGACAGTGCACAATCAAATGACTATTGCATACAGTTCTTTTTTTTTAATATTAATTAGTAGGAATTGTGTTTTCCCCAATGGCTACCTGAATTTCCATCCGTGCGGTCAAACATATTCTGCTCACCTGAATATAATTAATAATAACTAATATTCTAATATTGAGAATCAATAAAAAAGAATTATACATTGAGATCAGACAATTATTGGCGGACCCTTTAACTTCATTCAATCTAAAAAATCTGCCTAAATTACAGCACAAAAGAATTAAAATTAAATATTACTTACTTTTATATAAGTAGCACATTTATAAGCTAACTTGCAGTTTTTAAATTTCCAACGTCCTTTTCCTCTTTTTCCCTTTTTATTTGTAGGAGTATCACTTCGGGAAGTATTATCAACTGTCGATGCACTACCGATGCTTGATGTTTCATCCTGCAAAATAAGAAAAGGGGTTATACCATTGCATCTTTAAGTTAAATTAACAATGTCTATAAATAACCCAGGGTTTTTAAAAAAAAAATTTTAAAGTTAACAGAAAACTCGGAAGTTATTTCACTTCACAACATTTATATTGTTAGTGAAATAACAATCTAGCTATGAAGCAAGGCTTAAAAAATCTTAAAATGTTTACATGCCCTGCCAGATATATTAGAAGTATGTTTGAATGAAATTTTTACCTGCCTTTTCTCTGTTGCATTTTAAAGAGAAAATATAAAAGTACCATTTCTTAATCAACTAAAACATGAGAAGTTAATAAAATTATACATGCATCAACACTTTTACTTTAAGCACAAATCAGAATTATAGGATGCATGCGCAGCAACTGGGGTTAACTTTCTTTTAATAAAAATTAGCTGACTAAAAGTATGATTATAGTAAAATTTATCATAAATAGAAAGCATTAATGATTTTCAAAAAAAATTTTATTTTAAAGAAGAATTAGTTATTAAAAAATATTTCGATTTTACACATAGTTTGATTTATATTGCAAAATAAATTGTTCCTGAGTCTAATTGTGCAGTGATTTCCATCAACAAAAAAAAAAATTTTTCTTATTTTTTTAAGTCAAAAATTATCTCAAATATATATTTGTCCTTTCTGTTACAATTATTCTTTTAAGCTTATTTTATTCATTACACAAAAAACCCTTTTAACTTAATAACTGGTTTTTATAATAAAGTCTATTAATACAATCATGTTATATTTTTGAACAAAAAAATTCAAAGTTTTAAAGTTTCTCATCTAACAGAAAGGATGTAACAGAGAAGACAAAACTAACTATCCCGTAGTTACACAAAATTGATTGGTTGACCATTAAAAAGGAACTCTAGGACTGTAAACGGCTCCACTGTTAGAGCACACTTTCTATACAAAGCTGTGCCCTTTTTATTTGATAGTGAGTTTAGTTTATAGTTATATCTGTAAGAAGAAAGATAAAGAATATAAAACGAAAATTTATAACAGAAGTATTGTGAAAATAAAAAACCTTAACAGAGAAATAGATAAATTGGAAAAAAAGGACAAAGAAAAATAAAAAGGCACCGATACAAACTGGGATATTTTCTTTATAATACTCCTTAGATATTAGGGAAAGCTATTAAAAAATCCAAACATGCATTACAGTATCTCCAAGAAAACATTGTGCTGTTCTACGCATACTTTGTAACCTTACTACCAAAGCAAAAGAAACAGGCTAGTAACAAAGTTTCTGATGAAATAAAAATATTTGTAATAAATTTCTACTCATCTGATAAAATTTCTCACCAGACTTCTGTTAGAGCTGATAGTATGATTGTCAGAGAAAATGTACAAAAAGTCTACAAAGTCAAATACATTATTTGCTGTGCACCTTGATGGAAGCATTTCAAAGCAGATGCATCCAAATGTAAAAATTCACAAATCTTAAATTTGTACTATCTCTATTTTATGAGTAGGTAAAACTCCATATAATCTGTGTATATGCTATTCATGGAAATGTGAATTTACTATTAAAATCCCACAGTTCTTTGCCTAATAATCACACAGAATTACTGAATATAGCGACTTGCCACAATCAATCGACTTTTTACTTTATAACCGTTGTTGAACCGCCGACCCAAACTTCAGTTTACGGCTACCAATGTTCAACTTCGTAGCCTTATAATTTTGAACCAAATTCAAAAGACAAGGGAACTCGTGGATCAGTACCCTTAGAAGTATTGATTTGTTTTGGGAACTTAGAGGACTTTGTGACTTGACAGATTTAACGTGCACCAGTCACCATTCAAGACACAGAGATTGTTTTGATGTTGCAATAGATAGTTATGCAAGTGTAAAAAGTTCAAGGAAAAAATAGGGTAGTTAGTTTTACTGCCTACATAACTGAAATTCAGAAAAAAAAACAAATAATGCACTTATTTTTTTTAACACATTCAGGTAAAGTAAAAACTTTTAAATATAACTACTAAGATGTAGCACACACCGTGGTTCACATGCCGTGGCCAACTCCAACTTTGAATAACCGAAAAGTCAATTTTGACAGTGATATTTCACTTTAACTATTTGTCAAATTTGTAAGACATCCCCGCTGTTACATTTTCCATCCTCTCTGCTACGGTGCATTATTTGGACTTAAAATATTTTTTTTATAATTTTAAAACTTTTATAATAATTTAAAATGTATTTTAAAAAATAAATAAAATCTATATGCAAAGGAAAGTACTATAATCCTGTTCAATTTTTAGGTAAATCGGGTATAAATTTAAAGAAGTTATGAGGCCTGAAATTGCAAATGAAACTGGGAATTATTAATAGAGAAAAACATTATATTCTGTATTTCATTTTCACTTAGTATTCATATTTTATTACGCTAGCTACGCTAATGGTTGAAAATACGGCTGATCATTTCGGGTTTCAAGACTGAAAAAAAAAAAAGGGTATCGAAACTTCTACTTTTACAAATAGAAACTAATTTTTTTAGACTTAAGTTGTATGTTTGAATAACATCTAATATATTGATGCACATATTATTTTCATAGATAAATAGAAATATTACAAAAATTTGAATATGAAAAAAAGCAACAAAAAAATCACATATTTAAATTCAAGATAAAATCAAACATATTTTACAATATCTTCGCCGGATTCTTCATGTGTAGATTGATCAGAATGATTAATTAAATGTAATGGTATGCATCTTGCTTTTTTCGCTGTTGGCTGTGATTCCGAATCTGACATTTTATCTTGTTTCGGCAAATCTATATAATTACAAAATGATTGTAAGCTTTTCCATAGAAACATTCCATGGAAACAATAAATAAGGGAATTAATTTTCAATTCAAATTAAATAAGAAAGACATTTATAACATTTGAATGTTTACAAATAAAAATTACAAAAACAAAACAAAATTTGCCGCTACCTATTACTTCACTTCATTTCAATGCTCAATCCATTAGCAACAGGAAAATTCAAGTTAATGCACGAATTATTCTTGCTAAACAAGCTGTAACCAGATCATCTGCATTTCACCAATAAAATTCAAAATCGCTCTTATCCGATTGACAATGGCAGTGAGCTGGTAAAAAAACTAAAGTGTCAATCTCACTGCATTTAAAACAAAATCGCGTTTGTCACGCGATTGCTAATCACTTGATTAGCTAGGTTTTCGAAATTAAATTCATTTTACTAAACAGGTTCTTATTCACATCATTAAAGAATCGCTCTCAAACAAAGAAGAGTCCCGCAGTAGATTGATCATAAGGAAACGGTTCCCAGTAGAACACTGAAGCCAATCATCACTGGCTGCGGTTAGTAAGTGGGTGGGTGATCACTTTGATAAGCTTACGTAGGAACCGAGGGTGCACGGTATTGGAGCACATTAAACTATTTTACCGTGAAATGATAAACTTCATGCGCAGGTCATCAGGCTACTAAAGGGAGAACCCTTATTTTTGCGAATCTTTGTGAGCAATGCTTTCTGAGAATTTTTATGAGCCCCTCTGCAAAGCATCAAAATTGTAATGGCATGTCTTCGGATGATCCTCAAAGTTTCTCACACCATCGCGAATAGCCCTAGTGCAACGTATGCGTAGCTCTAGTGCAACGTAAATAAAATACTTACCTCAAACAAAGAAGACTGTCACTTAGGAGAGAACTTACACTGTCACTGTATGCGATTCACATATGCAATCGTAAGTAAATGCGATTTCCACATGCGCGTGTTGTTCATCTTACGCGTATTTTCTAAAACTTTGCACGAGCATTCATGACAATCTCATGCAGTCTGAATATTCCTCATGTATCAAGAGGAGAAAAGACTTTGATATCAACCGAGGGTGGCAAGAACTGAAAAGCAAAGCTCGTAATTTTTATGAGTCCCAGCGCAAAATTTAATGCAGGCCTCTTCTTCAAAATAAATATATTCTGGATAAGATTTTCGAAAAAAAGAGTAACAGTATTTAATTTACTCCTCACTAGAGCTGCACAATGAGCTATACTCGACAGTCTGGGAAACATCCCAGAGGGTGATCCGAAGCGTGCCATCACAATTTTGATCCTCTGCAGATGGCTTCTCTGCTTTGGTAACTCAAACGACCTACGCCTGATGTCAAGTTTACGATATAACAGACAAACACTGAGTACCTTATACCTCTAAGTCCCTATACGCAGGTTGATGAAAGTGGTCACCATTCCGCTCACTGACCGCAACCAGTGTAACTTGATTTCGATGCTCCACTGGGAAACTGTCTTTCCAGTCTACTGTGTGAAAAGAATAAAAAAGGATTAACTTTCTATCCTTTCTTTTAATATTATATTTAAGAAAAGAACAAAAAATTGATTATTTTTGCCATTCAATTTATTTGAAAGGTGGAGAATTAATTTTCGTCTTCCCAGAATATCTATGTTTACATTATAAACATTAAATTATGTGTTTATATTATATGTTCAGATTATAAGCTGATTTCTGTTGAAAACTACACGTTTGTGGGTTTATATATAATATGCCTATTAAATAAAGAGATACTCTGCAACCTTTTTTCGAAATTTTAAAGGAATCAAGAATTCTCATGTCTTTTGGGTTGCGTTCAATATTACAGGAACAATTAAATCCTCAAACGAAATTCTATTGCATAATTTCTTTTACTAATGAAAATTTCGTTTTAGTAAAAAGTTTTTTATAATTAATACTAAAATCCAAGAGAACTTCATCCTTCATCAAACTTAAGTTGACATTTTTATCTTTTTTTTTTTTAAATTATAAATTTCAATGATGTAAAAAGTGAATTGTATTTATTTCAAATAACATTTTGTAAAATGCTTAAAGGTGTAAAAATGAACCCAGAATAAACTTTTTAATTTTGAACTGAATGCAATGAACAGTGCGCCAGATTAAAAAAGGCATCACCCTCAATAACTTTCGTCCTAATCATGCTTTTTTCACGTACTGTGCCAATCTTAATGGTTCAAGGGGGTGACCTCAAATATGCTAATTAATTAATACTAACTATTTATTAAGTTACGAAATCGGACATAAGAACCCACTTTCACTAAATAAACATATACAGTCAATTCGCTATAACTCGAAGTACAATAACTCGAATATTACCATAACTCGATTTTTTTATGAGATCCCGACTCTTTTATCTTCAATTTCATGTTAATTATTCTCGATTACTCGAATTTTACTCCCTTTAACTCGATTTTTTTTTTGGATCTTTTAAAGCAAGAAAAAAAAAAAACCTAGGAGCGGACATTTTGCCCCTTCCTTTGCAACACACGAACAATGTCCTTCGCACTTTTCATGGAGAAGCTAAAGCTGTCCCTCTTGAAGTATGTGAACAGTGGTTAAATGAAACGTTACCAAATTTACTTCAAGGATACAGTTAAAATGATGTTTTCAATATTGATGAAATGGGTTTATTTTTTAAATGTCTTCCAAATAAGACTNTAAAAATGAACCCAGAATGAACTTTTTAATTTTGAACTGAATGCAATGAACAGTGCGCCAGATTAAAAAAGGCATCACCCTCAATAACTTTCGTCCTAATCATGCTTTTTTCACGTACTGTGCCAATCTTAATGGTTCAAGGGGGTGACCTCAAATATGCTAATTAATTAATACTAACTATTTATTAAGTTACGAAATCGGACATAAGAACACACTTTCACTAAATAAACATATAATTTCTTTTTATATATTTCTGACACTCAAAGTGCTAGGTTGTAGACGAAATTTCGAAAAAAATACGCCATGAATCTAATAGCTAGGAAAATAAAAGAAAACCATCAAAACTAGATAAATCGCAATGGCCGAGAAAGGCAAATCAGGAAAAAATGGAGCCACTATTTCCAGATTGTGGCTTTTCAATTATAACAGAAGTACTTAATGAGTGGGAGAAAGGAGGAATCCATACTTATATTTTTTTTAAAATTCGCTTGGCGCTAATGTCGTTGCAAAGTTCCAAAAATTTTCTGTTTTCTCTTTTAAAATAGGTTCTTTTTTCAAGTTTTAAAATAGTTATTTCTTTTGTTAATTATAAAAGCTTGTCTATTTAAAGTAACTTTTTGTTGCCCAAAAATTATTTAATGCTGAGTTCTTACTCTGACTGAAGCTCTGGAATTACCCTTGAATGTAGTTTTCTAGGAAATCATTTAGCATTTTTAATTTAATAGGTGTTAAAAAATTGTAAATTTTTTTTTAATAATTACTCATTCATTTTTAAAAAGTAAAAAAAAGTGCAATATGAACATTTTTAAACTTAAATAAAAACTAAGTAGTATTTTGCTATAGATTTTGAATTTTTTAAATTGAAACATAACAAAGATAAAATAATAAATAAATGGTTTTGAGATTATATGTAGAGTCTAATGGTATAGATGTAGATAATGAATACATATTCATGTTACTATCATTTAACCTTTAAAAATTTTATTTTTTAAAAAATTCTAAATTGGTTAGAAATATGTGTAAAATTTTGAAAAATTACTCATAAAGCATATGTCTACCCCTCCTAATAATACGCCCAAAGGTGTAATAGTAGACAGCCTGCTTTGTTCCATATTTTAATGACGTTTTTCTATGCTCTTTGTAATAACTGATTTTTTTTAAAAATAAACGTTTGGTTGATTTTTGTCTCTTCTTTTGTAATATATTTAATTACATGTTATATGCTACACTTGTTTAATTAATGATATTCAGACAATATAAGAACATCCATATACATGCAATTATCACTCTTTGGGCAACTTTACATATTATTATTCAAATAAGCCTCTCTCCCAATAACACCATTATCAGTGATAAAAATATGCACTTTTGCTTATTTTCTGAGTTTTTCAAAATAATTTATATACAATTTCTTAGCTTTAAATGTATGCATATTGTTTGTTTTTGAAATGTATAACATTGTAACATAGCATTGTAGTATCTTTATAAACTTACATTTTCTTTAAGAACTAGAAAATAAATTCAAGGTATCTTAACTAGAAGTTGATGTTCAATAATAAATCAAAAATAAGGTGAGTGCAAAAGGGTACCAATATTAAAAGACATTCTTATAGAAATGAAGTATTAAACTCAGCTTAACCTAAAATGATAACAATATATATGGGCAATCTTGAATTTCTTGCTGGTTCTTCATCAGTACAAATATTTTCTGTGTGCATCAGCATTAAAAAATTATTTCAACAATTGTAATTAAAATATATACAATTCAACTGGAAAATAAAATCTTAGTCACAATGATACAAATTTCATCAGATAAAAAATACCTATTTTTCTTTTATATGTATATTTTAATTATTTTTTCTTTCAATGGTGTAATATTGGATAAAAATGTGAATTACCTTGTTATACATTGTAATAAATTTAGAATAAAAAAAAAGACTTTCGAAATAAATGAAATGCTAGACAAGATTGTGAATCTTGTATTCTCAAAGATACACTGTAAAAATTCCTAATTTGCTTTAACCTGTAAGAAAAGCTTTTGTTGAATTAACTTTCAAACAGTAAGCATTAGGAAAAAATAAAGTTTTTAATAAGTACTGATGCAATTTTCTTAACCGAAAAAAAAAGTTATTGTTGTGATAATGGCTTATTTTATTATTTGTAAATATCAACAACATGTATTATTTCTAATCATGAGCTGTAATGTAAGTCGAAACAGATATTTATATAAAGGTTTTAATATTACAACATCATTAGTTTAATTAGTTTTTTTTCATTTATAGAAGTGAAAAAAAAAATTTTTTTTAAAATTATTTTTAAAGAAAATTATAAATATTTAAACACAAAGCATTGCACTAAATTAAAATTTAAAGTTCAAATTTGTAAATTGAGGGTTTTTCTATTCATTTTACAAAGTGTAGGTGTACTGGTTGAAGACATTATCTGAAACTAAATAAGTAAAAAATTACGTTCACTAAGACTGAGATCACTACCAACAACTAATTTAGAGTGTGATTGCATAAGAAAGTGATGGCATAAGGATTTATTTTCTCCATCCATTTTATAAAAAAATTCGTGATTATATAATTGTACAAAAATTTATCGTTAAAACAAAACTACATGATTATAAAGTATTTAAAAATCTATGAAAATGATGTAAACAAATGTTAATCTTATCATTTTTTGGACAAGAATGTAGATTAAATAATGAATAATTAAAATAAAAGCAATTTACACTTATTAAATAAAAAAAACATTTATTAAACAAAAAAAAAAAACATTTATCAAAGCAAGCTTGATGGCTGATCTTTTTTCTTCCTATTTTTCTTAGTATTTTTTCGACCTTTAAGCTTTTGTATAGTATACTTGTTAGGCAGTTCAACCTGAAATAAGTATTCACACGGTTAAATTCATTTCTAAAATTTTTTCATGATTACAAATACATAAATATCTGCGTAAAAATATCAAAAACAGAGAATGGTATGAAAGAAGAAGGATAAAGATGTAACTTTTAATTCAGATATTTCTTTTTAAAGTTAAAACAAAGATAAAGCAATTAGGGCTATGCCTTAAGATTCCTACTACCCATACTGCAAAGGCTTGGAAAGCTTAAATTGTTTAAATACAGCCCAGAACAATATCCTTATTTAGACACTTCTTCTTCTGCTTGTGGTGGGGTGATTTATGATTTATCAATTTTAGCTGATGGAACTACTTCAAAGTGTCTTCTTTGCAGCAAATCTAACATTGTCCCAATTAAATCAATCACAATCCCACACTTGGAACTGTGCACATTACTTTTAGCTCAATTAACTCAAAAGGTCATCAAAGCACTAAAAATGGATTTCTGTGCAGTTAATCTGTGGTGTGATAGATCAATTGTTCTCGTTTGGTTAAATAAATCACCTCATGAACTCAAAACCTTTGCTAGCAACAGGGTTGCTCTAATCCAAAAGTTAATCAGTGATTTTGGCAGGAGACATTATTCAAACTCTGATAGCTATCATACCAGTCAGTTATTTATCATGTGGTGCTAACCCAAGCCTAATTCAAAACTTAAGACTTATGGTTTAAGGGAACATCTTTTTCAGAATTTCCACAATTAAACAAAGGTTTGGATATCAAAACTATTACAAATAATGACTATACCTGGGAATTAAATTTTTTTAATTAAATGGCCATTCCAAAAAATAGTGACTCAATATTATTACACATTTGTTTCATTACCAATAATTATGTTAAAATAATTAGAATTTTAAGCTTTATTTTCAGGTTTTTTAATAGAATGGCTGAACAATTGGTTGTTCGTCATGTTCAACATTCTTGTTTTGATTAGGAATCCCTAGACCTAAAACAATGGTAAATCTTTATTAGGTAAAAGTGTACTGAAATCACTAACTCCTTTTATTGGTGATATTGACATTCAGAGTTGGAGGTCTCTAGTAAAATTGTAAGAATAATTTTGATAAAAAAGGTAAAATAATATTACCTCAAAACCATAGAAATGCTTATTTACTTTTGGGATATTATCATAAAAAATATCACTTTGGACCACAAACCCTTTTATATTATGTCAGGCAGAAATTTTGGATAGTCAATGGATAGGAATTTGGCTAGAAATATTGTACACGATTGTGTGAAAAATGAACCTATTTTATTTTATAACTGTGAAAAGTTTGAGACCATAATCGTAGAAATAAAAAGGATCTTAAAATTTAAGACCCTTAAAAACCATATCTTCTGATGTTCCAAGGCTTTGTCACCTGGAAATTTTTTATTTGGTCATGTCATCATTTAAATACATTTAGAAAGGAAAATTTAGCATAGTAAATAGAGACATGTTCAAGCTCTTACACGAGTATTATGGCATGGGTTACATTTAGATACTTGAGCCACCTGCAACAGTGCCAAAAGTGGCAAGTTTTGAAAAATAATATTAAACTTGTATTGATGGTGGTTTTTGAGGGAAGATAATCTTCTTAAATGTAAATGTATGCTAGAAAAAATTGTAAGTGTAGTTCATGGTAATGAAAATTGTGTTGGAGTAGTTAATGTGAGAATGGCCCATGGAACTTTCAAAAGAATAAATCATAAATATGTATATTTCCAGTTAATGTTTAAAATTGAAGAAAAAAAAGCAATGAATAATAATTTTTATGTATTCATATTGGATAAATAATTTCTTAACTTTTTATTATTATTTTTGTTGTATCAATTTAAACTTTATATTGCATTAATACTTATTCTACAATTTTTACTAATTGGTTTTTATCTGCTATAAAAGAATTTTGGAAATAATTCATAATTTAAATTTATGTTTGATCTATGTTTAAAGACAATTTGTTTATTGTTAAGCAAAGTTTTAGCTGAATGTTAAACCATTCAACTGGGGTCAGTATGTTCATGCCAAAAGTGTGATGTTACGAATTTGCAATGTTCTACCAAGTCCACTTTTGATTTTCACCTTAAAAATGCAGTTAGTTGATTTTCTAAGCCAGGTATAGAAAAATGCTCTGACTGATTCAGATCACTTCAACTTTACAAATATAATTGCAGCAATTTAACTAAAATTAATTATTGAACTAAGTTGTTATGCTTATAACCTAATTGATAATTGTTTTCGCTAAGCTACTTGACCTCAGAAATGTATATAGTGTAAATAATCATCTTCAAAATAAATGTTGTTTAAAAATATATCAACAAGAATTTGTTTTTGAGCTTGGCATCTACATATTATTTAATAAAAAATAAATAAACCAAGTATTAAAAAACAGAGATTTTTAATAACTACAAATAACAGTTAAACAGTAATAACTACAGTAATAATAACAGTAATAACTACAAATAACAGTTTTCAATAACAGTTAAACTTATACAAGTTTTAATTATTAAACTACTAAATTTTGATGGCTTATAATAATTCAGTTCATATAGTTTAATTTCAAAAATTATTATAGCTTTATATAGATTTATTTGGGGCACTTAACCAATTAAGTTTAGAGTCTCGAAACAAGTATGCACATGAATTTTCATTCAATCTACTTAAATTAGCATTGAATAGCAACATGTTTGTTGTGATTTAATGTTATTAACATAGAACATGTTTGCTGCAGGAGAGCAATAGTTAAATGAAATAGCAAAAATATTTTTACCAAGCGTTTAGATGGAAAAATGGAATAGTAACTAAAATATTTTTATTGGTAATCTTATAAAGGTTGCATAATAAATAGAAGATTATAACAACAGTTTAAAACAAATTAATTTCTTATTATCAGTTTTACTATGATTATTTAAAATTAAACGACTATGTATACCTCTTTTTCTTCCTTTGCTTTCAGTTTCTCTGCCATCAGTTCCTTGTAATTTTTATATTCCTTTTTCGGAGGCTAAAAATGCAAAATTACTTGTTCAAAAAAAATTAAAATCAGCATATTTTCTCACCATTTAAATTTTTATTAATAAATACAAAACTAATTTTGATATAATAAAAACATAATATATCATAAGAATTATATATAGTTTTTAAATTAATATTTTTCAATGATAAAAATACTAATGATAAGACAACTGAAAACATTATTAACTCTTGTTATAGAAAAGTAATTTATCTTGAAGTATGTAAATAAATTGGGTAGTTGTTTTCTACCTATTTAATCCATACACCTTTCAAAATACACTTGCATTCTATATCATTCAATATCTTTTATAAATTAAATAACAAAAAATTTAGAAATAACATAACTTAAATTTAAGTAGTTTTTTTTACACGCAAAATTTTAATAATTAAAATAATTAAAAAGGAGCAAATTAAACTGTTTGTGAATTAATTCTCTGCCCACTCCTTGAGGGCTAGGTTTACATAAAAGAGGATAGACATGGAAATTTTTAAAGTAGGTAAGTATTTAAAATTCTGTCAAAAAGAATTATGATTTATATGGTAAATGATTTATTTAACTGTGAATCCAGTTAAAAAGCTTTCTTAAAACAATTTATAAAATTATTTCAGAAAATTTAAAGGACATTCTTAATAGGAAAAGTAACTAAAAAATATTTTTATTTATATGCACCATCAATAACTTATATTTATATACAGCTTGTAAGCATCTTTACAAAGCCAAACATTGAACCCAACTCCTTAAAGTTGTCGCTTCAATATCTTAGAACAAATGCATTGTTAATGAAGTTTTTATAATGATTTTTTTAAAGTAAATTATTTAAGAATTTTGCATGTTTTTTTTCCAAAGAAGTCTTAAAAAACAATTTATACTCCACTTGTTTTCAAAAAACATCTAAAATATTATTTAGAATTTTATAACAACATAAAATTGAAGCAACACACACTCTCAATAAATTTAAAATGTTAAATATTTAAATTGATGAAATTAAAAACGTTAAGTAATTAAATTAAAATATTAACTTTAAAATATCATAAAAGTAAATGAAACAACTTTTCCACTGGCTTTACAAAGCCAAAAGCTTTTTCCTTCATATAAAAATAATTCTTCAACATTTTCTTTTACGTTTCATTTTCAAGTAAAGAAATATTTCATTTCATACCGTCAATAATTTTTGTCAAAAAAGGACTAAATGCCAACAAAATTAATTCAAAAAGAAAACTCAATGAAATTTTTAAGATTAAAGGACAGTACACTTTCTTTAGCTACCTATTTTTTAAACTTACTTATTGAGTAATAAACTAACAAAAAATCATAAAAGGATAATATTGAATAGTTTAAAAGGTCAAAAATTACTTTAGCTCCTAGTCTTATAGCCATTGCTATTTTGTCTTGCTTCTTTCTTTCTTTTTGAAAGCCATTTACTGCAAACCTCATCAACTCATAACGTGCTCTCTTTATGTTGAAAACTTTACAGTTTTCTTCTTCTCCTTTTTCAACAGAATCTTTTTTGAGGAGAGGAGCTTCATGCACTGTTTTTTGATTTTTTATCTAAAATAAAATAAAACAGGTAAATGTTTTAGCAATGATCAAGTTTTAGCATTTAATCCCGTTAAGCAATACAAAATTTAATATTTCTTTTTACAAGATAATAAAATTCATGGTATATATTTGGGAGACATCTGCACCTGTTTTTTGGGATTTTTTTTATTTTATTGCCAAGTTTGTGATAAATAATAATAATGTGGTGTTAGTTAGAATATACTCATCACGGTGATTGAGATGAAATTATGACAGAATCATACATATAGAATGACATAGGTGAGATTGTATTGGATATTAGAGGTGAATATTTAACATTGTGAGAAGATAGATTTGACAGATTGTGCAGATGGGTGAAGATGATTGACGTAATTAATGCTTTAAATGGCTTTTTGTTTTTCTACATAAAATTTTTTGAGAGAATTTAATTATTAAATTTCTGTTTTAGGATTGAATTTAGTGTGACATTAGTTTCCAACAGACTGATTATTTAGGTAGATGTTTATGTAGTGAGTTTGAATGTTGGTTTTTTTTTTTAAATGTATTTTTATTTTACATAAGGTTTCTCTTAAAAAATATTTAGGTTTTTTTTTGGAAATATGAACTGGTGAGAAAATTTCTTTATAGTTTTCTGTAGAAACTAAAGTTTAGTTATGGTTGGTAGTTTTTGTAAAGGTTTGTGCTTTTTATAATGACCTTTTGTGGATTTGTTTGATCAATGATGATGACAAATAGAAGATTTTAAATACTTTATATTTTGGGGGACTTTAAGTTGTAATTTTTTGTTAATTTTATTCAGAAAAATGGGTTAATAAATCTGTTGTGTAAGGGTAATAATTCGTTATTGATCTGCAGTAGTTTTAAATTTATATAATATTTGAAAAATGAATTTGTTACGCAAAATTTATTTAAAATGTGTGCAGATTCCTTGCAAGTCTGTTGTCTAGGGGTAATAATTTATCCTAAATCTGCAGTACTTTTTTCCCTTATGTAATGTTAAAATTGATGTTTCTTTTAAGGTTAATCTCCGAGTTAAGTGACAATGTTTAAGGTTAAGTGCCACTGTCTGGTATACCCCACACTGATATTTTTTTAAGGTTAAGTACCATTGCTTAAAATTGACAGCAATAAGAGTGAACTTAAAATTTCATAGGGTTGCAATATTTCACTCCGTTTTCGCATAAGCTTGCCTGGTGGCTAACATTTGTCATAGATTTGCTGTTATTTATGAAATGTCTGTTTTATGCTTTAAAAAAAAAAAAAAAAAAAAAAAAAAAAAAAAAANAAAAAAAAAAAAAAAAAAAAAAAAAAAAAAAAAAAAAAAAAAAAAAAAAAACTGCAAGAGAAGTGATATAGTAAGGAAGTGAGAGTTGCAATATTTCCTTCTGCCTTTGGCATGTGATGAAAGAGGCACCAATACAAATGAGCTAAAAGTGGTTGGTGAGAAAAAAAATCATCAAGTTGAATTAGGTGCTGATGCCTGACAAATCTACTCCAAATTCATTATTTTTCAAAACATTGAATTTTTTTTGTTGTAAAGACTGATTATATTAATATCTTTAGACATATCTTTTAGACATCTTCAGTGTGGAATCCATAAAAAGTGTGGAGTAATAAATTTATTTTAATTACTAAGGAAACTTTCTGATAAGTTTAAACTTTGATATCAGAATTTATTGAATCAATTTGCACCAAATTATCTGCAATGCTCATTGTAGAAACCTGCAACCGAATTCACAACATTGCTTAGAAGAAATTTAGTATAATAGAAAAATGATCATATTTTCCAATGGAAGCTGAATCACCAAAGAAAGGTAGGGAAATACAAAAATTTAAGTAGAACTTAACTGTACACATTTGAATGAAAAGGCAACAAAGAGAATGAAAAAGAAAGAAAGATTACAAATTGAATTTTTAAAACGAAGAAAAATTACTCTAAAATAAAGTGTTGTTTATTTATTGTTTAATAAACAGAATGCTTATCTTAAGGAAATGATCATAATAATAATAACCAACAATCCTACTGTTTGATAGTTTACTGATGATTTAAAGTATAGTTTAATAAGGAAAACTTTTGTTATAAAAAATTGAATAATGAGATTATGTAACAAGGATAAAAATAATTTATCCATAATTTACTAAATTTAGTCAGTCCTGCATGTTTTTACATTGCACAAATTTCAGCATTGAAGATTTCCGCCTAAAAATAATATTTGATGATTAATGTAGCCCAAATTCTTAGGCTACATTAAGCTTGTAAACTTATAAAATTCCAATTAATAAAGAAATCTACTCTAAAGGAATGCACCAAAAATTGGCTCATTTAATTTAACCAACAAACTTCGATAATTATTAAATAATAAAATGGTCAATATATATTCTACATCTATCAAGGGAAAATAGAAATCATTAGTATTCTTTAAAATGAAATTTTTTTTTCTCCAATCTAAATAAAATGGATCATTTGAAACTCTGAGTTTGTGATGTTTCTGTATTGGTACCTGTTAGCGTCAGCTACCTTTGCCTAAGTCTTTTTAAATTTGTAAAAATTAAAACAAAAAACATGAAGCAGTTTGCTTGTAGGAAGTTTATTTTGGTTTATATTTTTCTTGGACCCTTCCTCTGATTTTCTTTTCTTTCTTTATTTTTTGCTTCTCACGTGCTATTACCCGGCTATCTCCAAAATTTGGAAATTTTTTTTAGCACAATTTTACAAATAAAAAAATCATTGCAAAGAATTTTTCCAGCATAAGCCTGTTCTTTCATCCGAACTTAACTATACATAGAAATAACACCATATTCCTCTTAACGTAAATAATTTTATTTTGCTCAAATCTCTTACATATCATTGTATTTATATCAAGTAAAGTAGATACTTTAGACTTTATTTTAAGCTAGACATTAGTTTGCAGCTGAAAGGAAGCCAGTTTATGTTTGTTCGTTTATAATGCTACTACGCAGTGAAGAACTTAAAAGCATAAATCCTTCAGTAATTGAGAGCATTTAGAAAACAGAGCTTTATATTAAGTTAAATAGCTTACAAGCTTATTTCGTTACTAAACAAACACAGAAGAAATGTTCAAAACTTATATGAGTTTTAATAAAAGCAATTTTCTCTTATACGATCAAAATAAAGAAAAAAATACTAAAATTCATAAGGCGAATGAATTAGACAACATATTTTGCTCTTTTAGGAGGCCTTGCTTATATTACTAACGATAAATTGTATATTAGATTTTATAATTTTTTAAAATATAGAATAAGAATATATTATATACTTTTTTTCTACCACAAAATCTCTCATTGAATTCCACAACTTCTACAGTCTTGCAGTGATTAGAAGACATCTTTTTCTAATTCCCCTCCAAAAAAATAGCTTGAAATTTTTTATTGATAAAGAAATAATCATTCAACATCAAATTTAATTACAAAATCGAAGCACTTCATATCCTCAATGCTCTCTTTGGTTTGTTTGTAAATATTTAAAATGAAAGTCAAAGTTTAAAATTCAAGAATGTTTTTCTTTTTCTTACTTTTGAGGCGAACTTATCGCACTGTCTTGGCTGACCGCCCTCTTATAACCCTAAACTTTGGCGATCAGCTGAAATGGGTGATTGCCAAACGAAATCTATCGCCAACTGCTTGGATGCCCGCTTTTTGAACGTGATTGAAAATGGCGANGGCGAACTTATAGCTAAGATAAGTACCTGTTTTCATTTTTCAGAAATGGCAACAACAAAGAATTCTGTTGTCTGTCTATTGATAGTCTTCGAAAGTTTAGAGAAGTTAGTCAAGCTATTAAGATGGTAATTCATTTCATGATAATGCTTTTCTCTGTTAAACCCATTCGAAATGAATCAATTTTTTTCAAAGTTTAACTAATCTGCTGCTTTTAATTGCAGCAATTTTTATCAAAATGAGTGTCTTTCACGATTTTCAAAAAGCCTGGGCGCAGCGATTCCCAGGGTGTGAATTACCTCAAGCATGGGAAGAAGATGTTCGTGCTAATTTAGCTAAACATCGACAGAAAGTTATCGATTTAAATCAAGAATTAGAAAAAGAACAATTTTATGTGGAATATTTAGAGCATTTACTTGCTGCGGTGGAACGCGTTAAGCAAAATCCAAAATTTTCCAATGTGGAATATGATAACGTAGCTGTTATTGAAGAGAGTGAAAGTGAGTCTAAATATGACGATAAAAATGTGCCAAAAACGAGCAGCAACGAAGAAATTCGTTTCAAAGATTCAGATATTAGTAAGCTAGATTCCGAAAGTGATACCAATGATCAAAACAGTTATATCACTGTCATATCTGTCGGCGGATCAAATCAAGCTGATGACGGTACTTTGCTGTCTCAAAAGTCTAATGATAGTCAATCTAGTAATTCTCTTGATAGAAAAGGTGTAGCTAATGAAGAAGTTGATGTAGAGATAATTAACAATTCTCAAAAAAAGAAACCGCCTGCTCCTCCTAAGAAACCTAGGAAATCAATACCTGTTCAGGCTGTTCCGCCTGTTATTAAAGCTGATGTAATTGAGTCTACTAATGAAAAACCAATTATTGAAAAATGCACAGATGCTGATAATAATGATTTGCTAGTGAATAGTTCATTGATCAAAGACCCAGATAATGTAATAATCAATAACTCATCCTTAACTAATACATCCTCTTCTACAGCTTCTGAGTATAGAGATGCCTTGAATACTATCGAATCCTTTGAGAATGACAAGTTGGAAGATATGAATTATAGCGATGAGAATATTTATGACACAGTAGCTCCTGATGAAGACGATTCTTCTAGTTCGCATTCAGCTAAAAATTGTGCTAATAAGGAAGATTGTGAAGGAGATTATGTTATGTTTAATGAATCATTTGATGCTTATTCAGAATGTCCTCCACCTGTATCATCACGTTCAAGGATAGCGGAATGTCTTTTTACACAGAAAAGTGTGGAAGAGGAAAGTCCAGAGTTCGCCACTTATATGAATATTGATTATTTTCTCCAAAATCAAAAAGCCACTAAAAATAGACTAGTTCAAGCCGACTCAGTAGGTGGAGATTCTGACGAAGAACACTTTTTACCTTGTGGCTGTTCCAGTGATCAAGAACAAGAACCTGATCGCATTGCAGATTATTCTGAGAAAAAAGTTAGTTGCACATCTGCTCCTACAGATGACGTTTTTGACATGGATTCTGGTAAGTTATTCTCTACATATGCTCCTTGCACTTTATAACTTAAAATAAGTAATGTATTGTAATTTTATAACATTAACCTTTAATATTTTCATATCATGCAGAAAGTAGATTCCCTAAACATTTGTTATTCTGCGAATGAAATAATCCTTATATTGCAGAATCCGTTTATCATTAATCTTTGATTTTATATCATGAATGATATCAATCTTATTTTCAATATTTTTTAAGTCTGTCCTGTCACTGTCTCACGCTTCATCAATCACTCTACCTTCCTTTATCATTTGTTGATTCCTTTATCCACAATTCCTTTATCATTTTCATCACCATTGTCATTGACTCCTATTGACCATGGGTCTGCAGAAGCCAAAAGCCAAACATCATTATAAAGCTGGGTTCTTTTAAAAAGATGGGGATTTGAAATATAAAAAAATTGCTAAACAACTATATATTAATAATAATTACCCTATTAATAAATAAACCTTTCCATTCACAGAACATTATTTCATTTTTTTTTAATTGTCTGAGCTTGGTTGCTTAGCAATGGAGTAAAATTAGGTGTTGCTGTCTTCAATTAGCCTATGGTTATCTCAAAATACTTATTTGTGGCGGCGGCTTTGCTTGGCTGTTATTTGGTACAATCACCAAATGTATATAGTTTCCTACACCCCCCAATTTATGATCCAAACTTTTTGCAATTTTGTCTACCTCCCTTTCTTGAGGGTCAGGAATCCAATTATGAAACAAAATAATGTTTATTTAGAGAAAGTACATTATTGTGTCTGATTTTATAACTTAATTAATAGTTAGCACTATTTAATTGCATATTTGAAGTCACCTCCAGGAACCATTAAGGTTGGCACTTAGTACGTAAAAATCGATGTTAGAACAAAAATTATTCAGAATGATATATTTTTCATTTTTCATGCTAGCTGTACACATGAATAGTGACTAAACATATTGAAATATCTTGAAAAACAGGCTTAAATTATGACTATTTGAAGATCTGCATCAAACAAGAACAATATAATTTTATATACAAAAATTTTAAGTCTCCACTCTTGGGGTTAATGCAGAAAAAAATAGTTTTTTTCTTTTATATATGAATTTTTAAATCTTTCAGCAAGGCATTAATTCAAATTCGTTTGCATATTTTAAGCAATTGTTTTTCTTGTAATGTCAAAATAATTGTTTTTCTTGTAAATTATGTGTAAAAATTTCATGTCAGCATGTGGCAAAATTTTTTTTTCATATTTCAGAGCTAATCAAACAGTAGCTTGCATAAAACTAAAAAAATAATAACTTGGGAGTTTGCTACAAGTTATACCCTTCAATTTGGCACTCTTCTATAATATTTATTTATTAAAGTTTTTTGTGTGTTTCTGCCCAGAAAATGCCAACATTTGGTGATTATTTTGGTGCAGTTATTGATATGTAAATCTTCCACTGTTGTAACATTTGAGAGCATAGCAATTATAATGATCTGGGGTATGCTTAATAAAATTACTCTTTATGGTTAACTGGACCCAGACCTTGAGCTTCGTTTTACTGTCCCTTTAAAAAAAATGAAATTTTTAATTTTCAAAGGTTGTAAATAAAAAAAGTTAGCTTTTTTTAAAAAAAAAAAACTTTAATATGTTAGCAAAACTTATATATAAAATTTTGAAACATCATTTTCTGTAACAAAGAAAGAAAAAGCCTAAATTGTGAATTTTGTATAAAATGTACCAATGGTTTTTTTTGAAAATAAGTAAAAACATTGAATTCCAATTATATTGTTTATTTACATATAGCATAAGCATAGAAAAAAGATTTTTGTACTTTAAAGTAATTAATAATAAATCAAATTTTGTTTCACAAAATGTAAATAACATTGTTAAAAATAAATAATAAAAAAAAATATTTGTGCCCCTTCAGTCACTGTGCTCAAGCCACTAGGACTTTAAGACTCTAAGCCCGTACAGCAATAAGGCCCTGTTCATTTATATAAGAAGGGTATATTAAAAGAATTAATGCTAAAAAGCTGAATTAGTATTATGTGCAATATTTTGCTTAACTATATCATGTTAAATCCTATCCCAGATAAATACAGGCCCTACTAATATCCTGGCGCCATGAATCGTTTTGGTCTTTTTTTTTTTTTTTTTTTTTTNTTTTTTTTCTTTTTTTTTTTTTATTTTTTTTTTTATTTTTTTTTTTAGGCGAAATGTAATATGATTTAAGTTAGTTGCAATAAATATCTTTATTAAAAAAAATTATAGAATAAAAATTGCAATTGTACTTGAGAAAATTTATAATTTTTGTATCATTGTGTTTCATGTATTGGAAAATTAGAGAAGGTGCAGCAAATATCCAAAATGTTTTGTTTCTCCGAGTAACATAAAAATAAAATGATCTAAAAGGATTTTTCAATGTTTTTGCAGCACATTCCTACTGCTTGGGTTAGAAAATTGGTATGGTTCCTCAATTAGCTAGTATCTATAAATTATTTATTTATTCATTATTTAAAGGTATTATAATCATCGTTGTTCAGTCATCAAGTTCTAGATCCTTTTTTTAATAGACAAAATAGTAATATATTGTATTGTATGAAATTAAATATGCTTAAAATTATTAGAAATTAATCAAAACTGTCGAATGCATATGAGACTTTTTTAAAAAGAATAAACATTCCTTTCTAACATGAAAGGAAAAAAAAGTGTCTTCAAAATTAATATAATAGGAAAAATGTTTTTTTTTATTTTATCACCATCACATAATGTAAAACACTGAAACTCATTGTGAAGTAAATTCTAACAATAAAAAGAATTTAATGTTCGTATATACATTTTGTAAATTATTAGAGCTTTTATGAATGTTAAATAATTTTTTAAGCACTTTTAATATTGTATTGTATTGTTTTTGTATGAAAATATCAATTCTACATGGAAATGAGTAGTAGTGCTAATTACGGAGGAAACATTAAAAAAATTGCTTGGATTTTTGATGAAATCAGCATAATTGAAGCCCGTCAAAAAGTGATTATTTAAATGCATGCGTAATAATATCATATAAAAATATCTATCTTGATTTTCAAAACCTTGTTGAAATGCTTTGTAATTATTGTCCAAAAATTTAAAAAAATAAAAAAAATAAAGATCACTTGGATTTACGATGAAATTGTTAAGAATTTATTACTTTAAAAATTTATATTTAAATGCGCTATTCGAGTGTCGTAATAATATTGTATTAAGACTATTGAGATTTTAGAATCTCAAGAAAATTTGTAGCAATAACTAACAAAATAAATAAATAAAATAAATAAGACAAAGTAAATCGAACATTTACTTGGATTTACGATGAAATTGGCTTCAAATAAAGCGTGTCAAAAAGTGATTACTCAAACAGGGTTCCCACGGTCCTTATAAACTGCTTAATTTTTATTTACAACATTTGGAAAACAAGGGCCCTTAAAAGTACTTAATTTTGGTACAAGGTTTTTAAACAGACCTTAATTTTTCATCATCACTATATTTGATAGGAACAATTTTTCAGTCTTATGAAAATATTTGAAGCAAAAAGTCGTTCTTTTATCACCTAGAATGTGACCATGCCTTGAGGCAAGAGTATTTTAGAGAGAAGGAATGTGTGTAAGGGGGCTATAGAAAAAGGGAAAGAAAGTATGTCCATTCAATAATGTAATTGGTTCTTACATTAATATATTNTAGAATGTGACCATGCCTTGAGACAAGAGTATTTTAGAGAGAAGGAATGTGTGTAAGGGGGCTATAGAAAAAGGGAAAGAATGTCCATTCAATAATGTAATTGGTTCTTACATTAATATATTTTTCTTTTTTGCCTACAATATTACTACCCCAAGAAGAGAGTGAAGCATTCTAAAAGAAAATAGAGTGTGGACAAGGGGGATAATATACCAGGAAGAGATGTTTTTTTTGAAGGCGCTTAATATTAACAAAGGCGCTTAAATAGGAAACCCACATAGACCTTCAAAATTGACAAAATTCAAGAAATTAAGTTCTACTGGTAGATGAGGATTTTGCCATCCTAAAAGTAAAGAACTGGAAAACAATTGCTGGGAGAAGGGCAGAATGGGAAAAGCTTCTGAGGAAGGCCCAGGCCCACAAAGGGCTGTCGTGTCAATGCTGATGATGAAGTTCTACTGGTAACGCATGTGTTTATAGGAACGAAGAAAAGCCCTAAGATAAGAAGTATCAGAAAAACTAGAATCTAAAGGAAAACTAAGCAGATTGTTACATAAAAATTTAAATCTACTCAATTAAAAGATCCCAAACTTTTTGTTATTAAAGTCTATCAGAATAAAATTCAAACTTAGATTTTAATAGTCATTTTGTTCAATTAATCTTGCAACTTAATATGCTGTTTTTTTTTTATTTAAAAAAAAAATCTATTAAATTTTTGGATGCTTTAAAATTAGTTGATGTTTCTCGCCAGATTGTTTTGTAATATTATGTTAATTCTTAATAACAGGCTGGAACTGGAAATTTGGCTGTAAATTTTAAGTAAAACTCTTCATAAAAGTGTATATATGAAGCATTTGCTCTTTAATGGTAATTTTAAAATGTAATTTTAAAATCAATTTTCAATTTTTTTGTAATTTTAAAATGGTTAAGTTACATACCGTTTTCTTTATGTTTTTCCTAAAAATTTTTAATATTTTTTTTACAAAACTTTACTTAATAAGGTGATATTACAGAATTACTTTATAATAAAAGAATACTACTTTCAGTTTTAAACTGTTGAAAATAAAATATCTAGTCATAATAATAGTAGAGAATAATATTAAGAATGATAGAGGATGATAAAAAAATATTACAAGTAAGTATCTATAAATGATGAAAAAATAAATATCCTTATGTGTTAATTAAGGAACCTTACCAATTTTCTGGCCATAGCAATGTGTTGATAACTTTTAAAAATCAGATCCTTTTATTTATATATTTCACCGAGAAGTAATATAAAAAACATATTGGTTTAAAAATTAT